GGGGGGGGGGGTTGAGATCTCATAAACATGTTTAACCCCGCCGCGATTTTGCGCCTGTCCCAAGTCAGGAGCCTCTAGCCTTTGCTAGTCTTGTATTATTTTTAATTTTAGTTTCTTGTGTACAATTTGGAGTTTAGTATGGCGTTCATTATCACTGAACTAGTATATATATTTGTTTAGGGGCCAGCTGAAGGATGCCTCCGGGTGCGGGAATTCTCGCTGCATTGAAGACCTGTTGGTGACCTTCTGCTGTTGTCTGTTCTATGGTCGGGTTGTTGCCTCTTTGACACATTCCCCATTTCCATTCTCAATTTTAAAATGACAATAATACATAAATAACAACTGACTACTAGCAGTTACTGACATGCCAGCTCCAGACCTCAATTAAACTGATTGAAAGATTATGTCTTCATCATATGAATATCAGGCACAATCCCTCCTGTTAGAGGTTTAGTATTTTACCGTCATAAAATATATGAGAAGAACATAACCCGTGTCATGCCAACAACTGGTTTTAGAATAAATATGTTTAATTCCGATGCAAAGACCCTATAAGTGAATCAATATTAAAGCCAAAATATGCAATCTTTAATGACCTGACAACATGTCGTAACTATATCCCTTCTTAATAAGTCTGTTTAACGGTTTTGTTAGCTTTTGAGGTGAATACTGACATTGTTGTGCTTTGTAAAGAATATTACCATAAAAGATTGGATGTGAAATACCTGAACGTATAAGATGTCTGCATGTTGAGTTATATTTACGAATGATGTCCTTATACCGATGATAAAATTTAGTAAATGTTTTGACTAGTTTATGATATCGAAAACCCTGGTGTAATAATTTTTCAGTAATATATAAATTTCTCTCGCTAAAATCTAATACGTTGTTACATACACGAGCTAATCGTACAAGTTGAGATACATGAACACCATAAGATGGTGACAAGGGAAAAAATGGATAATTAACGATAGGAAATGAAAAATCACCTCTTTTATCAAGATCGAGGAAAGGACAGTGGTCGTTGTTAGTATTAGCTTTATTTAAAGTAAGTTCAACAGGATAAATTTCTTTAGTATACATACTGAAGTTGTCATTATTGAGAGCCAATATATCATCCAAATATCTAAAAGTATTGTTAAATTTTTGTATCAGATGTTGTTTCGATGGGTCTTTGCTGATTTTAGTCATAAATTGTAACTCAAAACAATACAAAAACAGGTCCGCAATAATTGGTGCACAGTTAGTCCCCATTGGAATTCCGATAACTTGACGATATACAGAATCTCCAAAGCGAACAAAAATGTTATCAAGTAAAAATTCAAGGGCAGATATAGTATCAAAGCATGTCCAATTGACATAGCTCTTTTGTTTGTTGCTACTCAAAAATGACCTAAAAGAGTTTGAACATATGTATTCGCATTCCGACTTTTCAAATGCCCATTTAATTAGGTGTGTGAATTTTTTCTTAATAAGAATATGAGGCAAAGTGGTATATAAGGTAGAAAAATCAAAACTTTGAACAGATTCAAAATCACCAATATATGCATGCAATTTATCAAGTACTTCCAACGAGTTTTTGACACTCCAAAAGTAGTTAATTCCACTATTTTCAAAGGCCTTATTTGTACAATTTATTATCAGGTTTTTGATTGTACCAAGTGTACTAGTAAGTAGAATAGACAATCAATAGAAGTATTTATTAAAATCCGAATTGGATGGCGGAAATGTAATTTTGAAATGATTTTTCTTTTCTAACGACACTTTCCGCCCGACAGAACTGTAATTATTTCAATCGGAAAGTATCTTTTCCTTTGGTGTAATATATTTACCCCCTTCTTTTCCCCGTATATTATATTCCATCTAACTAATATTTCAAAGTATATCTTTCACAATATCCATTTTAAAGTCATTTGCGGTATTCATATTCCCAAAACAAATATCCTTTAAAATTAAAAGATTTTATGACTGCAAAAACAAACGTCGATATCAGAATAAAATCAGGCTGAAATTCAATCACGTAACAGAAAGAGGGATGGGTCAACTTCCAAAGGGGGAGAGGGAAAAAGGGGCGCATTTAGAAATGCATAGTAAATGAAAACCGCAATGACTTTTTGATAGAGTATTGAAGGTATATGTTTATATATTGAGTTAATCAAATCTTAATTCAAACATTCTCATTTTAAAGAAATATCGATGGTCAAGTGCATGATATCATGAGAAGTCGCATGGTTAAAAATCTTTCTTCTTATATACGTCTCTTGATTTATTAACACAGAGATACAACTATCCAACCCAAAATCTAAGCAAATCCCGACAACTTTCAGTCGATTGCGATACGAAATAAATCTCATGCGAAAAGGGAATCTTTCCAATTTAAAAGAAAACATTATTAAATATGAGGATGAAGATAAACATCTTAAGGGTAACAACGGTCAAATTAGCCGGAGTTGAAATTAATAAACATATCGCTATAGTATTTGCCAAAAAGCTTCCAAACCACTAGATATAAAAATATGAAGATGTGCGGTTATGATTGCCAACGAGACAACTCTCCACCAATTGACGTAGAAGATAACAACCGTATATAGGTCACTGTACGGCATTCGACAATGAGCAAAAACCCAGATCGCATAGTCGGCTATAAAAGGCCCCGAAATGACAAATGTAAAACAATTCAAATGAGATGAACAAAAACAAATACGATATAGAGCCACAAACGACAACAACTGAATTATAAGCTCTTGACTTGGGATAGGTACATACAGAATGTGGCGGGAATAAATGTTCTTGAAAGAGTACAAAAAGATGGATATTCATGCAGTACATGATCCAGAGCGTTAAAATTTATTTATGATCAAAACAATATTCAGCAGAACTCAGTTTTGGAGAGAAAAATCAAAACTACGTCATTAGGAATAAGACGGATCAGAACTGTTGCAGTAGAAGTATACAAAATTTTCAAGCAGTCTACTTTATTTGCATGCCGATGATCTACTTCAAATTAAACAAAGCAAATGTTCTTTTAGGTATCGAAATACAGCACAACTTCCACGGCTATACTTACTTACTTAGTCCTTGCTATGCCTTATGGCACATATGGCAAGGACAAGTTTCCTCCACTCTTCTCTGTTGTTTGCTTTTCTTTCCACTGTGCCCCAGGTATATCCTCTTTCCTTCAATTCATTTTCTATAGTGCGTCTCCATGTTGTTTTTGGTCTTCCTCTTTTTCTTTTCCTTCTGGTGTCCATCTAAGGGCTACCTCGGTCATGTCTTCAAATGGTTTTCGTAGAACATGATCAAGCCACCTCCATCTCTTTTGTATCAACAAAGTCTCCATGACCTTGGTGTTTGTGATCTCGTGTAGATCTTTGTTGGAGATTTTGTTTGGCCAGAATATTTTCATTATCTTCCTCAGACAGGTGTTATGGAAGCTGGAGAGTCTGTTGATGTCTTTCTCAGTCATTCTCCGGCACTCTGAGCCCTATAGGAGTACAATTAATACGCAGCTGTTATAAAACATAAGCTTGGTCTTCTTTGAAAAGGCTGTTGTTCTCCAGATGCTGCCTAATCTAATGAATGCTGATCTAGTTTTTCCTATTGAATTCTGACCTTTATATCTCTTTCAGCACCACCGTGCTTCTGTTGTTATACAACTTCCTAGGTAACTTAATAAGTCTACTGTATCCAGCTGTTTCCCTTCTGCAAATATGACAGGCAGTCTCTCTGTGTTGAGGTACATTAACTTCGTCTTTTTGGCATTGATTTTAAGTCCAATCATTTTAGCATTTTCTTCTAGCTTTCTGGTCTTCTCCCCGCTGCATACGGTCTTCGGTATCCGATAAAAGTGCTAAATCATCAGCATAGTCTGTATCCTCAAGCGTGGTACATAGTGTCCGTCTCAGTCCGGTGTTTCTTTCCGCTAGGGTCGTTCACATTACCCAATCAATGGCTTGAATGGATTTCTCCTGATTTTACAAGGATGTAAGGCAGACAACAAAGTTCCGAGTTACATTCTTTTCAATACTATGCAGATACATATGGAATTATGTGTCTGACCACTTTAGAAGAGAAAAGTCGTTTTTGTAACTTTAAAAACCTTATAAACTCACGGAACGGCAGAACGTATCACTGCAATGCATGCTCATAACAGCGATTATATTTATTTTTATTTGTATGTGCTTCGGCTTTGCCAGTTAGATAATTAATATGCTGCAATTGAGTGATTAGCTACTTAACATTTGTTTTATATGATTACTAATTATTGTTTATTAGGCATGCTGATGTTTTATGCTCTGTGTATATATTCAATGTCTCAGTATCTATGCGGTCTATAAGTCAGGTTGTCTCAGTGTCTTAGTTATGTTGTATGTGTGTCAATATCGGTTAAAAACTGCCTATGTTATAAGCATGTCCGACTTTAAATATTTTTTTTTGTATTTAAATTCTTTTTATCATTAATCTTTTTATTTAAAACCAAGGATTTGCAAATCCTTGTTAAAACATAGTATTCAAAAAGTTACCAGTCCACATCTACATACTTAATATTTTTGTCACTGATTGTGAAGATACTATGATAGGAATATCTGTTTTGCATTATTTTTTTCATTGTTATCCCCACTGCGCCCACTTTTCGCAACCAAGAATATGAAAAGGCATAGCCTACTGAGACTATTATACCAGTACTAGTATAATAATCCAAGCCTTCGATCAAAATTTACTCTTTGACGCGAACGTCCACGAGAGCACCCTTTGCACCGACTAATGCGCACATCTCTTAGTTTCGCGGAATGTTAACTGTAGTATGTTGTGGGAGCAGTAGATTTTTTTTTATTTCACCAAGATGTACTCAAGAGACATACAAATAAGTTAATACAAGTTTAAAAACAAAATTAAGTGATTAATTTATTATATATGCCTGATCAAATAAAAAACATGTCTTTTATAAAATTATGGCAAAATATAAAAAAAATAACTATTATCAAAGGGAAGTAAACGCATTCTCCCTGCAAAATGGCTGCTAAAGGAAAACAAGAAAACGTGGGTAGCGATGAAGAAGAAGAAACTGTTCAAACTATTCCCCAACGAAATATATCAAGCATTAGAAACAAAATACTGAGAAATGAAGCATATAAAAAACTCAAAAAGGAAAAACAAAAGGTATGAAACAAAACATAACTCTGGTCAAAAGAGGTTTCTCTAATAGTAATACTTGTGATCACTTATTATGGAACGCCACAGCTGTCTTATGTGGAACTCTGATAGTACTTTGACTTCGAGTTTGAGTCACGTTTAAAGGTAGAGTTCTAGTTACAAAATTAAATTTGAGTCACTTTTTGAGGTAGAGTTTGAGCATCCGGGGTATGCGTACAAAAGATAAACAATGTTACAGTATACAAAACGCAACATAGAAGTTGAAATAAAGCTAGATGTGGTGTGATTGGCAATGAGACAACTATCCACCAGAGTTTAAATGCAGTGGATGTAAGAAATTATACATAGGCAACCGTACAGCCTTCAACACACCGTTTAGTCAGCTACAGAAGGCCACCATGCACCATGTGAAAAAATTCAAACGAAAAAACAAACGGTCTTATTTATAAATAAACAATCTACAAAAAAAAAAATGACACACATTTATACAACGACAACAATTAAACTTCATGCTCCTGACTTGGGGAAGGTACATAAAGAAAGTGCACGTGGCGGAGTTTAACATGTATGTGAGCGCTAAATCCTAACCTTACATCGGACTGTTACAGTTGTGTAACAGCACAACACGAGAAATATATGTAAACTAGACAAAGTGATGCCCCCGCACTCAACTCATTTAACCGCTTATACCCCAAAAATGACAAAAAAAAAGTTCAATTATCTCCCAAAAAGAGCAAAAGATAACAAAAATAAAAACCCTGACCACATGCACACCTTCAATATATGTACAAACAGCCAGCAGAGTGAAAACTTCCTAGCATTCAAACTGTAGGAGGAGTTATCTGGAAACGTTCTTCTTATGCAAGTAAATTTCCCAAAAAATTACAAAGTTCAACTATCTCCCAAAAGGGCAAATATTAATAAACATTAAACCCTGACCACATGCACACCTTCAATATATGTACAAACAGACAGTAAAGAGAAAACTTCCTAGGATTCAAACTGTAGGAGGAGTTATGCGGAATAACTATACACCCATAATGGGACGGACAGACGGACGGACAGGGGTAAAACAATATGCCCCCCAACTTTCAGTTGCGGTGGCATACAAAACAGTTTCATTTGGCTGATTCAATAGATCGGTATGACTGTCAGTCAGGGGTACTACTTGTACAAGTAATCTTTATTTACTTGAAGAAGTAAATAAAATATACTTGTATAAGTTAATTATAATGTTTGAATAATCTCCCCTTAATTTTCTCAAAAATTTACTTGTATAAGTAAATTTTTTTTACAATCCCACAAAAATTCTCTAGTTTTGAGATGTAAAAACATGCCTTTAACAATTTTTCTTAGGTTAGCTCATAATTTTTTATTAGAGTTCAATGTTTCATCTCATTAATTCAACAAAGAAACTGATTGCGCAAAGATTTTAAGTATTTGCGCAAGGCCTTCAAAAATTGCCCCTTGGGGGCTTGTAAATGAGCAGTGTTCTGAAGATAACAGACAAATGAGATTTTCATTGTCCATGAAATTACACTTAAATGATTAGTAAAGACATCTGCAAAGGACAGACAATTAAAAATTCTATTAGAGCAAAGAAGTCTTAAGAATTCAAGAAAAGAAGATAGGATGACTTTTTTACTTGTATAAGTAAAAAAATCTGAATGTCTAAGGGACAAAACTAAGCCCAATTTTTTTTTATCTATACAAGTAAATAAAGTACACTTGTATAAGTATCCTACAAATTTACTTATATAAGTATATTAATATTTACTTCTTCAAGTAAATAAAAATTACTTGTACAAGTAGTACCCCTGACTGACTGTGTAATATAAATCCATCGGGGGGATGCTCCAGAAAGGCACCCGTCATGTTATTCGAGAAAGTACAAATTCAAGGAAAAGATGACGGTATTATGGTTACGACCACTGGAACACGTCCGTCGTCACATGTGAAACCGATATTTCAAAAAGTTTATTTTTCAATTAGTGCGAGGTAGATCAGGGAATTCAATTGATTACAAATAAAAGATTGATATTCGTATAAGTTCAAATGATCATTTACGCTAAAAAAAAAATTCGGAGAATTCTTATTTTATAGTATTGATGCTTTGTTGCTTAGTCCGAGCCCCTTCTCCCCCCGTTTCCCTGTAACTTTAGTGTGAGTTGATTTGAAGTGTTTCATTTGTTAACAATAAAGTTCAAGTCTTTTGATTTGTGTCGAGCCTGTGACATCAATGTAGCGGCAGTGAGACACAACAAACCTATATTTTGTCGTCGATAGTGGCGTCGGCGTCTCCATCTCCATTTTTTTATTTCTATTGAGTTTAACCTTTCATTATACATGTTACTAAACATGTATGCCATCATAATTTTGTACTTTTAGAATATCATACTGCATTTGTTTACATCGACTATTGTATCTGTATTTATATTGTATGTTTCTCTGTAAACTTGTATTTAGTTTTTAGAGAATAAAGTTTATATGTATCTATAGATCGTTAGTTTTCTAGTTTTTTACATTTTTCATTTTGGGACCTTTTATAGCTTACTATAGGGTATGGGTTTTGCTCATTGTTGAAAACCATACAGTTTTGTTTTAGTTAAATAAAACCGAATTAAACTGTTTTGACATGATAAATTTGTAAACCTCAATGAAGTGTTTTAAAACTTGTATAGGAGTTATTCCTCAATTTCAAGAAAAAGCATCTACAGAAAAACATTTTTTTAAAAATTTTTTTTTTACCGATAAATGTATAGATCATGAAATGTACAGCCGATCAACATGACGCTTTTACACTTACAGCAGCAATATCAGGCGAGACACATGGTTCCGTGGAATATTTTACAAATTTATTACAAAAATACTGCTTCCGTTTGAGAACTTAAGATAAAAACAACAGGACCAAGTGGTTTGGGGATATCCAAATTATGTCCGAAATACTGTAAACTTTTTAATACTTTTTTTCTTATTATTGTCAGCCGTTCCCCTTTTTCATACCAAATAACTCTGAACAACCACTCGAACTTTTATTTGAACTTTAACTCAATGGATAGCGATACCCATCCAAAGCACATTAAACAAACGATATATTGAAATCTGTTTAAAAATAGAACATATTTTTTTTCCGAATTGGTCACGTGGTTTTACCTCATCAAGTAATGGGATAACTACATCAAAGAATGACAGGACCACATCAAATAATGAAACAAACACATCATGTAGTGTAAAATCGTCAAATTTTGAAACATCATTGCGTAATGTTAAGTAAGGGGATAAAATTACATGTTAAAAAAAATTTGGGTGCTGAATCTTTATGTTAAGTAGTGATTTGGTCCAGTTAAAAAAGGTCAAAAATTAGAATGTCTGAAGCTGTCAAACTGAATTTTAGCCCCCCTTAACACAGAACTGTCAATATTTTGAGTTAGAGCTGGTAGAAGTTTCTATAATTTTGATATTATTTGTATCAATAGTAGTACACTACACTGTAAAAATCTTTTTGAGATAGAGCAGGTGCGATTTTTTTAATTTGAATTTATTGTCTAAAAGAAATGCACTACGAAATAACTGTGTTCTCGGGCCTAAGAGATGAATTCTGTAAATGTAGATTCTGTACTTTGGCAACTTTCCTGAATGGTTTGCTGGTTTCAATTTGTCAAACTCAATAAAAGTAAAGGATTTACATCTTTGTTTGACAGAAATTCTGTTAAAATGTCCCATTTTGGCATTATACGGCTAAAATAAGCATTTTAAAGCAGTTTCCTTTTTATGCCTAAGAGCCATGCTGACTTTCTATCTGACAGCTTTTTATGTTCCTGATATTTGTGTTTCTATGCTTAAATCATATTTAATTAACCATTTGTGAACTCAGAATCTAGAGAAAAGTAGATTATCACAGAAAAAATGTGCAGAATATTTGTATTTATGTCCCTGGTTAAACGGCCTGTTTGATGTATGTGAAATGTGAAGAGCTTTGTACATAAAATCTGTAGTCCATCACAAATATTTCACTAAATCTGTAAAAAAAGCACTTTACAATGATCAGTTCACCCTATTCATTTCATATGCTACCATATTTTTCTTCTTTAGGATAGTAAGTGGTTCAAATATATGCCAAATGAGACTAAAACTACATGCAAGTTTTCCATTGAAAAGTGAAAAACTGGTCATCAGACCATACTGTCTGCCAAAAAAATTTAAATTCAAGAGTCCTTTTGCAATTAGACTTCTTGTATCATGAAATCTTAGCATAGAAATGAGCAAAAAGTAACAAATTTCAATTTCTTATAGCCTCTGTGTGCATTTTTATATGTAAATATGGGCTACGGCCTAAATCGACTCTAAATAATTCTCAGTCTTACATGGCCTTAGACCATTTTATACTCATGTGGTATGCTTTTTGTAACTTTTCTTTACATTTAAAGTACATTTAATATATATGGAAGAATAATGTATGGTTAAAAAACTTCAAAAACTTCAAATTGGTTGAAAAAAATGCATGTTTATGTAAGGCTTCCCTTAATTCGAAAATCTCTATTTTCAGGCACAGGCTCATATAAATTTGACTTTTGAATAACTGTAATAAATCTGATAAATCAAATGAGTGTTCCGTTGCTTTTAATACTTATTATATTAAATTCAAGAGTATTTAAAAAGCAAATTTCTGCAGTTTTTAAATTTTTTAGGCCAAAATCTTGACAGTTGAAAATATTTGATTTAAACGTCAAAAATAAACATCCAAATTTCAATATTAAAATGGCCCTAGTTTCTATAATATATATCCTATGGCCATGAAACTTGGCCAACTATCTTATAATTGCCTAAGCTTAGGTCATGCAAAGTTTTATTAAAATTGGACAAGTCTTTCTATCCTATTAGGTCCAAGGACACAGTTATCGTCCTTTGGTTTTCGTTGTCTACAAATATAGTCCCTAGTGTGAACAGTGTATAACTTACATTTTTTTTTGATACACTTTCCCAATTTATTTCTTGATATTTTATGCATGAAATATTAAGTAAGGGGATAAAATTACATGTTAAAAAAATTTGGGTGCTGAATCTTTATGTTAAGTAGTGATTTGGTCCAGTTAAAAAAGGTCAAAAATTAGAATGTCTGAAGCTGTCAAACTGAATTTTAGCCCCCCTTAACACAGAACTGTCAATATTTTGAGTTAGAGCTGGTAGAAGTTTCTATATTTTGATATTATTTGTATCAATAGTAGTACACTACACTGTAAAAATCTTTTTGAGATAGAGCAGGTGCGATTTTTTTAATTTGAATTTATTGTCTAAAAGAAATGCACTACGAAATAACTGTGTTCTCGGGCCATAAAGTAATATCAGAGTTCCACATAAGACAGCTGTGGCGTTCCATAACTTATACTAATAGAAATACAAATTTATAGATAGATATGTGTGTAATTAAGTGAAAAAAAAATAAACGATTAGTAGAGGTGTCGTCAGGGATCAGAGGACCTGGGAAGCTAGTCACGTGGGCGGGGCAGGGGGGAACTGGGAGAAAAGAGGAAAGGAATATGCTGGTTAGAAATTATAACAAGTCTAGTAAACCCTGTTTAGATTCTGTGTCTTGAGCTCTCATGACACAGAATTCCAAAAGTGATCACAATCCCAGAAGCTCTGAATATATGTAACATATGGATCAAAAGTTTGTTGTCTAAACATTTAAGGGGGCCTCGGTGGCCGAGTGGTCTAAGTAGTTACTACTGTAATCACTAGCCAGTCAACACTGAGGTTGTGAGTTCGAACACCACTCGTGCGGGTGCACTCGACTCCAATCTTAATTGACTAGGATTGTCAGTTTTCCTATCGAAGGTCGGTGGTTTTCTCTGGGCACTCCGGCTTCCTCCACCAATAAAAACTGGTCGCCACGAAATAGCCCAAAAACAGTGCTTTAAAGTGGCATTAAAACACCAAAAATCAAAATCAAATCTAACATTTTAATATTTTTTTGTAAATGTTTCATATTTGTATTGTTTATTGTTTATTTGTGTTTGTGTTTTGTAGCAATCTGACTGTTTGGATTTCATACTAATAAGATATCTTATCTACATGTATCTTATCTTATCTTATATCAAACCTTCTCTATTACACATCGGTAGATTCTGGAATTTATGACATTTCTGTATATCATCGAAGCTTAGATTCCTAAATGAACTTTTGTTTTTTAAGCACAAACCTTGGCAGATTCCGCTACCATGTATGTTAGATCTGACAAGGTGTGCCAGTTCAGTATCAAGACAAATCGGCATCTCATGAAAAAAAAAGCTGCTTACTGTTATTCAAAAGCTTTCACCCATAGTAGAGATTTCAAAGTGCCTTCCCTGGGTCCCATCGGGCCATGTGTGTTTTTATCGAACAGCCATTATGGAGAAAAATGTTGATCAGAACTATTGTCACTGTTACATGAAATTTTTTAAGAATTATAATGCTCCTTATTAATTTTTTAGTCACCTACCTCTAATCATGTGAACAAGACCCATTTGTGGCTATATCAATTGTTTAAAACTTTATTTTCTCACTTTACCAAAAATTACAAGAGCCAGTTCAATGAGTTGACATATCAATCAGACATTGATAGTGCTTTTTCTATACAAGGAAAGACTTAATGTAAATAAGAAGCTGATTTCCCTTAATATTTTATTTAGTTTACTAAACAGTATGGGTTTTGATCATAGTTTAAGGCCATATTGTAACCTGTAAGTACATGTATTCAAATCTTTGTCCATTTCATAGTCCACTTTGATAGATACATGTAGTTGTCGTAGTGGCAATATACTGCATGGTAATGTTAAAATATGGAGCCTCCATGTGGTTATAGCAATTTTTTTTTGTAAGCAGCCGTCTATAAAATTCCTAGAGCCAAAGTGGCCTTTTTCCTCAAACCGACTTTAGAAAAAGAAAGTTATTTGCAATATTATACCTTGTGAATTTTTACATTTTAGTTGAAAATAGAAGAAAAGAAAAAGAAAAGAAGAGAAGCAGAAGCTTCAGGTGAAAAGGTATGTAATATTGAAGAAAGAGGGAAAGTGAATACTTATTAGTTGTTATCAAGGCTTCCAAAATGGTCATATATTCCGGACATTTGTATAATGTCCGATAAAAGTCCGGCTGGACAAAGCATTAAACGGTCATCTACTTTTTAGTTTTCAAGGCTTTCTTAAGAGACGGTCATTTTAACATAATTTGCTATCTTTTTGACCCAACCTTTTGCCTTTAACACCCACACATTTCCGGTCATTAAAGTGACATGATCATTAAGTACTATCAAAACAACCCCTACTTTAATACCTTCCCATTTTAATCAAGGCTAATTAGTTGTCGAACAGCTGAAATTTACCTGTTCAGGTGACAGTTAAACTATTTTGAACCGGACATTGATGGTCTATTCAAAGTTATTTTCTTACATTTCAGCGGTTTGCGTCTAATTTATTTAGTCAAAAAGATTTAAATTTTCAGAAATATGTTTACAAATATGATTTTATGAAAAAATTAAAAGGTGAAAATGAAAAATCGTCATAACCACATTGTTTGAACTAGTACACGTGTGCGCAGGTGTGAAATTTAATTCTGAATCCTAATTTCTTCAAAAAATGATTAAATTGTCATTGATACCTTTATCTCACGTTTATTTCGAATATTTTCTCGAAGAAATAACGTAGAAAGAGCTACTTACACTCATTCATGCTTTGCAAACGTACACGGAATTTACGTATCTGTCTCTTGTCCATGTTTTACCATTGTCAAGATAACATCCAGTATTAGATTTAAAAACGAAAGTAAAGTTTTTGACAACATTATTTTGCACAAATAAAGAGTCTAAGGCAGATATAAGTACGCTGATGTTGCACACTTCGAATGATGCACTGCCAATTTAACAGTTTACGTCAGAACTTCCAATTTGAATCAAAGAAAGTTTAATATCGTTTTTTTTTTAATGTCAATCATTGACATTGGGATGGCCAACTCAGCAACTGATTACCATAATTGCCTTTTGTTTATTTAGTCTTAAGGGATTAAAATCGGGATAATATATAAAATGTCAGGCTGGCTAAAAATAATTTTGGAAGCCCTGGTTGTTATCATGATATTTTTTCCCATTGTATAATTATTTGCAATGATCTTATCTTAGATGTTAATTTTAGTTACCTGGTTTTTCTAAAGGGAAAATCCAGTTATACATTGTAATAATGGTTAAGTAGGGCAGGCAGGCAATTGGCGGCCAACAGTTTGCGTTTAATAACTTATGAACCGTTCAATTGATGCTTATAAAATTTTATGATGTTACTGATGACAAAATGGATGTCTGATTAAATATTGAAATTTTTCTATGTTGGAGTTCAGGAGTTATGTTCCTTGATACATGTGATAGATTCAAAAATAATCACAGAAAGAAGCAATAAAAAAAATTAAAATAAAAGGAAACCGGTTTGCTGTCAATTTGACAGCTCATTACTTCATGTACTTGTTAAAATTATGTCAGGCTTGGATATTATTACAGATTTTGTATGATGTACAAAGAGCTTTTAGATGCTTTTAACAAGTAATTTCAGTTAAGATTTTATTTTGTAGGAACCACCAAAGAAAGTCCCAAAAACTATAGAAAGTATGAGAGTGTATGATGAGACCATGGTTAATCCACAAGACGAAGAGGTAACTATCAAAATGAAAATTCTTGTTTTCCTTTGCCTGAACTGTTATTTGAATATATGATATTGTTGTGTTTTTTAAAGATTTTTATATGATAATAATCGTTAATATATTCCTGACTAATCCGTGAAACATCTCATGGACCGTTTAATACAGGATGAATGAGAATAATTTAAGTTTTTGCATATTTATCATTTTCGGTACAGTTACTGCTATGTGCTATAACAAGCTACATTCTCTAACTGAGGCCATGCCTAATTAATACGTCACATCCCAGTGTGTTGTGAAAGGTCGACGAGAAAAAAGTAATTTTCGTCCATCTATAAATTTATGTAACAAAAATTTTAATCAGTTGTGCATTTGAACGCCATACAGACAAGGAAATTGACATAAAAAACGATCTATATCTAACAATCACAGCGTTATTATGGCCAAATATAATATGATATATATTCTAAACGTAAGACATGAATGGAATATTTGAAATTACAGTGGTAATGCAGGCAAAGACCTTACTGCCAAACACAGTGGAATGTGATTTGGACAATTCTTTTATCGATTTGTTTTGATGTGCTCCATGCACCGAATTGAAAGATTCAAATTATGACAATATAACATGCATAAGAATAAAAGAGAATCCAAGAGATGAGGGTACATGCATTGAAATGGCACCGCAATGAAACTATAATATTTTTTTATTTTTTTTAATTTTTTAGAATAAAAGGTTTTTTTTCCTTGAATCTTTTATTTAAATTTGCTAGTATCATTACAAAGTTATAAAGCATAGAATTTGACAAGAAAGTTTTTGTGGTAACTGAAAATAACACATCAATCCAACTTTACAATTTACAAAATCTTCTAAAAATAAGAATTTGTATGATTGTCAATTGACAAACTTCCACTAGACACCAAATTTGTTGAGGTTTGCAACCAGTTAAGTTAACTGTAAGGCCTTTAACACAGAGCAATATCCCCATATACATAAAGATTTGATTGCTATTAAATTCTTCAGCAAAGCAATGACTAAGTGGACTGTATTAAAATGTTCCTTTTGTTTTGTTAGTATATAGCTTCTGGTGTGATGCATTTCAATACTAAGAAGGATAAATTGGTGTGGTTTTTGAAGGACCGTCCTTTATAAATTTTCAGCTTGTTGTATACACAAATATGTAAATTCTGCTGTTGTCTGTTCTATGGTCGGGTTGTTGTCTCTTTGACACATTCCCCATTTCCATTCTCAATTTTATAGTTGTATATAATAGCTTTATACATGCATATATGCTTTGCATACCTTTATTTAATCAACATACCATTCTATATGTGCCTGTCCCTAGTAAGAAGCCTGTAGTGTACTGGTTGTTGTTGGTTCATGTCTGTCATGCATATAAATATTTGTTTTTTGTTATAAATTAGGCCGTTAGTTTTCTCAGTTGAATTGTTTCATATTTTTCATGTCAGGGCCTTTTATAGCCAACTGTACAGTATGGGTTTTCTCATTGTTGAAGGCTGTACGGTTGCCTATAATTGCATACATCCACTTCATTTGAACTTTGTTTGATACATGTAGTTGCCAATCATACTCAATTTCCTTATTTTTATAATACATCAATTATATCTTTCATCAAACATGGATGTCTGCCTGTTCAAAGCTGTTGCACTTTTTCATGTTTAGGCAGGATCTTTATTTGAGCAGACTACATGAGGTTGTAGGTTTTGCTACTAGTTAACCATATTTGTACTGGAAATGTTGTGAAAAGATTCAACAGGGTGTCACAGAACAAATTGAGAAGCAAAGAAGGGTAATATAAGAACTAGGATGGGATATATAAAAACATGAAGCACCAAAACTGTGTAAATTTCTGATAGCTCGCTTGCATAAAATACTTATCATAGATTTTATTTTTTAATATTTCAAAAATAATAGCGCTCGCAAGTAAAAATTTCTTTCGCCTGCCAAAAATCAAACTTTGAAGAAAGAAAAAAACAAATGAAAAAAGTTCGCTTGCTCGCTGTCCTTTTTCAAAGAATAGAGTCTTAAGAAATAGAAATTAATTTGGTGTGGCCTTATTGATTGATATTAATATAAAGTTGTTTATTTTTATATATTTCTAGGGTTCAAACTTTTATTGATTTGTAGCTGACAAAAACAATGTAATTCATGATAAACAGAGTTTTTGTTCAAGAAATAATTCTTTCATGCCATGCTCTATGCTCATTTTAACATGGGTAGGCATTATATTTGTCAATATCTTTACAGTGAGCATTAGATATTGACAAATATAATGCCTACCCATGTTAAAAATAAGCATAGAGCATGGCATGATAGAATTATTTCGATTCTAATAGGAAAATTTAGAACATTATTACTTCCAAGTGGACTTATTATACACGTTCAAAAGGCCAATTAGATTTGAAGAAGCCAAAAACTTTATTAGTAAATCAACAGCTTCACGATAAAAAATTAACAGATACGCGTAAACTTACTTTTAGAATGTTTTTATTTAATTTCCTAGCGAGCAATACCAACAAAAATGTCCAAATTTTGATGTCCGGCGATGTTGAAAATGCAGCTGACTTCACAATTTCGATTGTGACGTCAATTACGTTCAACCCATGTTCTATTGGAATTAGAAAATGGCTTTGTTTCCAATGTGAAAGAAGAATGTCATATTAGAATAATTTGTTAACTTTAGCCTTAGTTGTTATTAATAAAATTATGGTGAGTTTCCTGTAGTATATTTTTAACATGAACAATATAATTAGAACAAAAGTTGAAAAAGAACACTAATTGTAAGAGTGGATGCATAGTTCAATCCATATTATATTCAATCTTGTTCTATTAAAAAATGGATCATAGCTTTTTTACTGAGATTATAAATATGATGATAAAGGTGTTTTATTACAGGTTATGTTAGATGAGGCTACAGATGAATTAGCTTCATACTTTAACAGAGAAACTCTACCTAAACTTCTTATTACAACCTGTGATAGACCTGGTGCGGTAAGCTATAAAGAATTTAAAGTAGGAGTTTTATACAAAAGATTTGGCGTATTTATCAAGCATTCAATCAAACAATCAATCTACATTGATCAGATGGTATTTTATGTGTAGAGTGAAGTGTGTTGAAAAAACTGCTTATTTGTCGGATATTTTCAAACAAACAAGAATTATAGGAAATAGTTTTTTTATACCACAGAAAAATAATTTAGGGACTATGATTTGGTTTTTGTGTGTAATTTTATACACTTTTTCTTCATTCTAGTCGAAAAATCCTTTAGAAATTTTAAAGTATTCTTTAGCTGAAATTGCTTTTAATCATTCTCTCCAAATTCTTTAATAAAAAAGATTGAAAAATATATTGATGAGAAACATTCATTGTTATACATCCTTTAAGTACACTTGATATGATATTTTTTCAGAGAACAAATAAATTTTGCAAAGAGTTGAAGAAAATGCTGCCTAATGCAGAAATTAAATATAGAAGAGGTTTGGATTTAAAGAAAATTATACCACAGGCAATGGAAAGAGATTTTACAGATATTTTAGTGATAAATGAGGACAGAAAAGAGCCTAGTATCCTTTTAATGATTTTTGTACAATTTCAAAATTGCATTCTATCCATTTATACAGTGTCACAGCCATGGGTTTAGAATTGGATAAAACATTTAAATCCTGAAAAACTAATATTCTTGAAATTACTAACATCTCTCTAAAGTACAAATATCCAATTTAAAACTTTTGCAATAGAAGCACCCCTTACAAGAATATGTACACAATACATTTACTGGTACAACCCTATAATACTACAAAAATGAAGCATTCTTTCTTATAATCACATATTGAGGTATAAACCAAGAAATTACAAGGTAAATGAGCAGTTTCTTTTGTTGTTTTTTTATGCCCCTGCTGTAGCAGAGGGGGCATTAAGTTTTACCCTTGTCTGTCTGTACGTACGTCCGTACATCCCAAAGTTGGTTTCCATTATCTAACTTTAGTTTGCCTCAACCAAATGATAGGAAACTTATACACAATGCTTATTACCACAAAACACAGATCAAGATTGAATTTTGGTGGCGTCACTATAACTGTTCTTGAGTTATGCCCCTTTACAAATGGAAAAATTGCTGAATTTTTCGTTTCTGTTCTCTAACTTTAGTTTGCCTCAACCAAATGTACTAACACTTATACACAATGCTTATTACCACATAATACAGATCAAGTTTGAAATTGGGTGGTGTCACGTTTACCGTTCTTGAGTTATGTCCCTTTCTAAACATAAAAATTGATGAATATTTCGTTCTCTTACTTTAGATTGCCTCAACCAAATGTTATGAAACTTATACACAATGCTTATTACAACATAATACAGATCAAGTTTAAAATTGGGTGGTGTCATGTTTACGGTTCTTTAGTTATGCCCCTTTTTAAACTTAAAAATTGCTGAATCTTTCGTTTCTGCTCTCTTTCTTTAGTTTGCCTTTACCAAATGGTATGAAACTTATACACAATGCTTATTACCACATAATACAGATCAAGTTCGAAATTGGGTAGTGTCACATTTATCGTTCTTGAGTTATGCCCCTTTCTAAACATAAAAATTGCTGAATTTTTGTTTCTGTTCTCTAACTTAAGTTAGCCGCAACCAAATGTTATGAGACTTATACACAATACTTATTACATCAAAACTCAGATCAAGTACAAATTTTGGTAGCGTCACTCTTACTGTTCTTCAGTTATGTCCCTTTATAATTTTATATGACATGCAAGCGGGGGCATCATCTGTGTCCAATGGACACATTCCCCATTTATTTTAAAATATTTCTAACAATTGGGGTAACTTTGTCATAGAGAACATGAGCAGTCATACCCTCCACCCTATCCGTCAATTTGTCCAACACACATTTTCATCGCACTTTCTCAGAAACTACCAAGCAGTATCACTTGTTTAGCAGCTTGACAGTGAGTGCTGTAACATGTAAGCACTTTTCAGATCAGACTTATTTTTCGTTTTGACTGTACTTTGAATATTTCAATATGTTGAATGAACTTAAAACATTTTTCCAATACTAAGAAACAGAATGACTTCATATTTGATCAGTAGCTTTACAGTATGTGTGTGTCAAGACACCTACTTCCTGCTTTTTGTTACTTGGATTACCATCGAGGGTATGGTTAGCAACACAATGTATGCATTCTTGTTGATATTCTTTTGTTACAGGACAGAAAACATAATTTTCAAACACCACATGATTGATGTTGGCCAATTAAAATGATAAAATCCTCATGAAACATCTATGTAATATTATCATTTTTCTGATATGATGAAAATGCTTCCTTAATAATAATAAGATGGTCTAGTCATAACACATTTACCTGAGGGACCAACAGCTCACTTTAAATTAAGTAATCTTAAATTGTCAACAGAAATAAAGGTTAGTATGAAGCAAATTAAAAATTGTTGTTTTATCAAAGCAACATTGAACAAAATGAATTGCAAATTGAAGTGTAAAAAGGCTTAATTGGCTTTAGATATCATTATTTTCTTGAATAATTTAATTTTTCAAAAATTTATTCAGTTATATGGAAAATCTTGAAATTGAAAATTGCAATACATTATGTTATGTTTAATGACAGTACAGTTTACTGCTGTTAAAATAGGTGTCCCTATTACTGATTGTATAAAAAAATAAAATCAATTTTAAGACATTTTTCCGCACACCAAGGATAAACTTAAGATTGAACAAGACAGTGTTTCATTTCATGTTCTGGATCTTTTTTGAAATGTTTTTTTACAATGATAATCACAGTTTTGTGTGAATTTGGAATACATAAGAAAGAGTTTATGAAAATCATCTCTTTTGAACTCTATATAGACAAATTTTAACTAAACATTAAAGTGTAAGTGCCCATTAAACAATATACTTGTATTTATATAGCTGACTTAGCTTCCATAATGACAACGATGAATAAGGATAAAACCTTTTTGAAAATAAGACAGTTTAGTGAACAAATTCTGGGCAAGTTGATGGATTTCGACATTCAAAATCTACCTCTGTTACTCTAAAAAAATCAGAAAATTAAACACTTATACTAAAAGTTGGTCTTTATATTCTAAAAATTAAAAGAAAAAAGTAATCATTCTTAACAATTTAACATGACTTGTATGATGAATTTTTCAAGTCCGGTTTAATTTTAAGATATTGGTTTTTTATCACCGAAATTTAACCTTAACCTTTTACTTTGCAGAGGCCCGGAGGAATGAGTGCACATAGACCAGAAGTGATATTAAACAATTTTAACACAAGATTGGGACACAGTGTTGGACGATTATTAGCTTCTTTGTTCCCCCATGACCCACAGTTTGATGGGAGGAGAGTTGTTACATTTCATAATCAAAGAGATTTTGTATTTGTACGGCATCATAGGTATAATGATTTGTTGTATATATGTCAGTGTTATGTACTGCAAGATTGTTGTTAAAAATCAGGTGATAATACTTACTCATGTAAGAATTGATTGATGTTTGTCTTAAAATCTTGAAATAACTGCCACAGCGATGATGTAAACTATTTGTATAAAGCTTTATATCTTAGAATGTCTACATGTCTGGCAGATAGGATTCACCTAATATTGACCTTGTTTTATGGATCAGTAATTGAGTCCATATCTTAGATACTATATGTAATAGGTCAACTACTTTTGGTGTAAGGTGTACATGTCTGTCTAGCAGGTTTCATCTGATCTTGTCCTCATTTACATGGTTCATTGGTCAATGTTAAGTTTTCATGGTTAAGTTTGTTTCTAAGATACTATAAACATAAAGCATAATGTCTTTCAGAATTGTAAAACATATTAAAAGAGTTTTCACTTTGATCATTTACTATGTCTTTATTAATACCTCAGGAAACATTTCAGCTTTAAAACAACGACATAATTAAAACATTCAATTAATATTTGGAAAAATTGCATACTGTAGTGATTCTTTTTACAGGTATGTGTTCAGGAATAACAAAAAAGTGGGTTTACAACAGTTAGGACCAAAATTTACATTGAAGTTGAGATCTTTACAGAAAGGAACATTTGATTCAAAGTATGGAGAATATGAATGGATACACAAGGTAATCTTTTATACTGGGTGTTTATATTGATGATTGTCTCACTGCTACGAAAGTTGCGGAAAGTGATACATAGGGATTGCATTTCTGGCAGCGGTGACGGCTCCGGCGTCAACAATTGTAAAGTTTTCTGCTTAAGTTAGTTTGATAGGAACTACTTGTGATAGATCATTGATATTTAATATCAAGTTGCATGACTATCAGTACATATCAGTTTGATGACTATTTTGAGGCCCTGCCCCCTAGGACATGATCCATTGACTTTGAATTAATTAGCAATTTTCAATGTTAAGTTTTCTGCTTAAGTTAGTTTGATAGGATTTACTTGTGATAGATCAATGATAATTTGTATTAAGTTGCATTACTATCAGTTCATATCAGTTTGATGACTATTCTGAGGACCTGCACTCTAGGTCATGGTCCAGTGACTTTGAATTAATTAATAATTTTCAATGTTATGTTTTTCTTCTTCAGTCAGTTTGATAAGAACTACTAGTGAGAGGTCAAAGATATATTGTATAAAGTTGCATTACTATCAGTACAATCAGTTTGACTACTATTTTGAGGCCCTGCCCCCTAGGACATGGTCCAGTGACTTTGAATTAATTAGCAATTGTCAATGTTAAATTTTTCTGCTGAAGTTAGATTGATAGGAACTACTTACAATAAACAACGATATTTCTATAAAGTTACATTACTGTTTATACATCTCAGTTTGTCGACCATTTTCAGGCCCTGCCCACTAGATCATTGTCCAGTGACTGAATTAATAAGAATGTTGCTGTCCATCAGATTTTTTTTCTTCTGAATTTTAGGTCGATAGCCGAGACATATCTCTGTGTCAACAGTTTATTAAAAAATGAAAAATTATTCACTTAGGATGATTTATATAATTAAGAATTACAGTATTTTGATGTATTCACTTAAAATATCAAGAATTGTCTAACATCTACAGCTCTTGTTATAACACCAGTTAACGAAGTGGGTGTTTACAATGACAGGGTATGATGAACTTTGTTATTGCTTTATTTGGGGGCACCTATTTTGTATCTGCAACACTCCCTATACTGCTTAGCATAATTTATTGAAACATCCTAACAATCATAACCATATAATGTTTTTGTAAACCTCCTAGTATTTTATTTCTATCTCAATTATTTTTGGGTTTTCCATTACCAAATCATGGATTTTGCTAAAGGAAAGGTATAACTTTGCGCTCTTTGTTCACAGTTCGTTTAGTTGTTTGAGTAAATATGTTAACATGTCCTTATCCATTGATCAGGGACAAGAATTTTTTACTTTACTTTTTATACGCCCGTTTACGGGACGTATTATGGTATACGATGGTTGTCCGTCCATTGTCAACATGTCGGACAATAACTCAAAAATGCTTTAACCAATTTGCATGAAACTTTGGTGAATTGTTTATATCTATTGACGTGAGCTCCTTTTGGATTTTTATAAATTTTATATTTTACGTTTCCGAGTTATGGGATTTTATTCATAAACAAGGGGAGATTTTCTAATTTTCGGACAAAGTGCTTTGAACAGTTTCCATGAAACTTTGGTGTCTGGTTTATATCTATAAAAATAACCTCACTTCAGTTTTTTTTTTAAATTTCTGATATGACATTGAGGAGTTATGGAACTTTATTCTTTGAAAAAACGACAGGCGTATCGTGCGCTCATGGCGCAGCTCTTTATTTTACTTTTAGTATTTTTTACTTTCACATATAACTAAAGTAATTTAAGTCTCTTTTTGTTTCATTAGTTTCTTCGAAGCTGTCAAACACCATTCAGAAATTTTGCCTTCATCACAGTCAATAGTTCCCTTACACAATTTGAAAAAAACACATTGATATTTGGTTTTGTTTTATTATACAAACTAGTTTGTACATATACCATATAAAAACAAGTTGTTATCATGAATACATTTTCTTTTTACAGCGCCATGAGATGGATGCAAGCAGAAGGAAATTTCATTTGTAACAAACTATCTTACACTTTTAAAGCAATCATTAAGCTTTGAAGGAAATGAACAGGAAATTAGTCTTGGAGAGATTGATACTGAGTGAAGATCCAAGTTCATATGAAAGGTTTTTTTGGCAGTAGTAACTAACTGACGAGTTTGTAAGGAAACCCTAATTTCACATTGAAATAAGGAAAGGTTCAGAAAGAATGGACAAGATAAAGATATTGTTGATGTTTATGAAATAAATAAATTATTCGATTTTTTAATTTTGATATTTATTCTAATTTATGCAACAAGGATTGCAATCAATCTAAATGTTACCGTCATAATGACAAATACAAGTCTGTACGTGTTAAATTTAGGAACAATATACATTTGTAATAATACAATTGGGACACATACAAATCCATGTGCTAATTAGTCTGCCCAAAGTGTGGAACCTTAGTCAGTGATATCTTATTAATGTTTGTAAACTCCACTCTAAGGAGTGGGGTCTATATTGCATTCACCGTATCTGTCCATTCATCCAACAAATAATTACGTCACACTTTTCTCAGGTACTAATGAACAAAAAGACTTCATATTTGGTCAGCCTCTTGACAGTGATGAATTGTGTTCATCCATCGTCCTGTGTAAACTTTTTCAAAGATCCTCTCTGAAACCAATGGACCAATTTCAACCAATCTTGAGCTGAATGATTCTTAGGGTATCTTGTTTAAACTTTGTGTTTTTAATTCTTGTCAGTCAGCAAACATGGCCACCAAAGCTAAAAATAGAATATAGGTGTAAAATGGAGTATTTGGCTTATATTTCTAAAACTAAGCAGTTAGAGTAATCTGACATAGATAAAATGATCAGCAGGTGAAGTTTTATCTCTTGTGAAATTTTCAGAAAATTCGGACAACTGTTTTAGAGTTATTCCCCCTGTTTTGAGTAAATTTCAAAGTTTTTGGCTTATATCTGAAAATTAAAGCAGTTAGAGCAAATCTGACAAGAGATGAAATTGACCCGCAGTGAAGGTCTCCTTATTGATTAATTTTCAGAAAAATCAGACTACCTATTTGGAGTTATTGCCCCTGATATGTCATCTGTAGCTAACCTGGCCAAGACGGGTCAAGTGAGCTTTTCTCATCACATTGTGCTGGTTGTCTGTCGTCATCCATTGCCGTTGTCAGTTAACTTTTACAAAAATCTTCTCTGAAACTACTGAGCCAAATTTAACCTAAGTTGGCCACAATCATCATTTGGGTATCGAGTTTAAAAAATGTGTCCGATAACCGTGCTTGCCGACCAACATGGCCACCATAGCTAAAGATAGTACATAAGGGGTAAAATGCAAGTTTTGTCTATTATCTTGAAAACCGCTATAGATAGAAAAAATATTACAGGGGCAGAAATGTTGAGATCTACCTGTTGTATATCAAATTCCAAACTGTTAGACAACTTCTTGTAGGAGATATTAACCTTAAATGACGAGTTTTACCAATTTTTTGCATTTTTACCTAATATCCTAAAAACTAGAATAGCGAAACTTTAAATAGCAAAAATGATCAGCAAGACAAGATCTACAATTATGTCAAACTACTGTAATCATCAGACTAATCTTTATTGTAGATTTTGCCCTTTAATGACCATTTTTACCATTTTTTGCTTTTTGCCTTATACATCTTCAATATTTTAATAGATACATGTATATCGAAAGTTTTTGCCAATATCATTAGAAAACACTTTATAAGAGTGATTGCCCTTGAATGACAAATTTTTTATAACTCTTGTTGTGTTTTGGGAAAAAACCAAAGAAGATGGAGAGAAACTAAACAGAAAAAATGATTAGCAATACAAGACAAAAACGAGATTTTTGTCATTATTCTATTCGTCCACAATGTTGGAGAGTGTCCATTGTTGAAGATGCACATTGACCTAGGTGAACGACACATGCTCTTTAGAGCCTCTAGTTAAGATCTATTGGACACCTTAAAACTGTTTGTCCCACTTTTCTCAGGTCCTGCTGAACAGAATTTCATATTTGGTCAACAGTTTAGCAGTGATAAGTTGTAACGTGTTAATCTTTTTCAGATCTATATGACAATAATTTATGTTATTTCTGATACTTTGTATTACCATTTGGGGTATGCTTTGCACAACAACGCATGCAATGTTTCTTCTTTTCAGTTTTGATTGCAGATCTTCCATTTTTCCTGGTAAACTTATACTCCTGAAATGCTTGACAGAATGATGTGAAACACCCAAAGTCTTAATCACATGATGTTATTCTGCACCTCTTTCCTTTCTTCATCTGAATTATTATATTGTTTTGGTATCCACAACTCCTCCTTAAACCCGGGTTTCAGTTTGTTGGAAATATCTCATAATCTCAACCATGTAATGCTATTATGTGCCTATTTTGTTTTTTTATCAGTATTATTTTTTGGGTTCCCCTTACCAAAGCATGGACTTGACCATTGCTTTATTAGGTGGTTACTCAATTTGTATCTGCACTTTTCTAAACCACCTATTCAGTTTCAATTTATTGAAACTTTCTCACAGCCTTAACCATACAATGCTATTATGCACCTCCTGCGTTTTTTGTTCTAACATTTAGATACAGTCTAGGGTAAAAGTTTTTACACCAATAACTTTGTCAAATCTTCATTGAATTTTACAAAGCATTGACAAAATCTTCTTCATAGTCAAGAGATAGCAACATGAGCAAAACATTCAAATTTTATATTAATCATTTTTACTGGGTTTTACAAAGGAAAAAATCCAGTTATTAAAATATTGAAGTATGGCGGTAGGGCAGGGTGTGGGCGAGGTGCGACAGCCAACAGCTTCTGTGCTAATTTACGTACAGTGTTACCAATGCCTTTCAAATTTCAATAGATTATTACTGATGCCAACATAGAGGTCAAGATTGCTTTTGACAATTTTCACTTTTATGGTTGAGAAGTTATGGCACTTGATAGATTGGAAATGACACTTGATGTCGTTTTCATGCAATGACTTGTGAACTGTTCAACCAATGATTTACATAGTTAGACTTCTATATAAACCCTTGGTTCAAACAATGGATTTCACATTCCAATATGTTGTTATGGATGACAAAATAGAGGTCACGTTTGATATTGGCGATTTTCACTTTTGCTATTCAGGAGTTTTAGTCCTTGATAGATTGGAAAATTACACTTTCTGTCATTTCTGTGCAATAACTTATTACCCATTTAACCAATGTTTTTTTTTCAAATTTGAATATGTTTTTACTGGTGACAAAATGGAAGTCAAGTTCAATATTGACAATTTCATTTTTCCTGTTTAGGAGTTATGGTCCTTGATAGATTGGAAAATTGCACTTTGTGTAATATCCGTGCAATAATTTATAAACTCTTTAGCCAATGCTTTCAAATGTTGATATGTTCTTACTGATGACATAATGGAGGTCAAGTTTGATATTGACTATTTTCACTTTTATCGTTCAGAACATATGGTTTTTGATAGAAAATAATGGAAAATAGGCACAGAACGTAGCAGGTCAAACAATCATAAAAGCACCAGACATAACAATACATCAATTTCATTGGTACTCGTTGCCCTCTTAAGTTTAAGAATGGATACCTTCAAAATACAGAAAACCTGGTTTGCTGTCAATGACGGCTCTTTTCTTGTTCTGTAATAGTGAATTCATTTTTTTCCATCCATAGAGTAGAAAATATATATGTCTCATGATTTTGTTATTACTTCACTCATCTTTAATGCTGTAGGGCATTCTAAGGGAAAATCTTTTAAGCAAGCACAACTAACATTTTTTTAAGTAGCCCCTGTTAGTTAACATTTACATGTGCCAAGGCACTAATCATATTTAAGTGAAAGGGAAAACCGAGAACCTTGACTCTTTTTGAAAATTTAGTGGATTTAGACATATTTTTATACGACCGCAAAAAATTTTTGCGGTCGTATATTGGTATGACGTTGGCGTCGTCGTCGCCTGAAGACACATTGGTTTTCGCACTCTAACTTTAGTTTAAGTGAATGGATCTTTAAAATTTACCATAAGGTTCAATACCACAAAAGGAAGGTTGGGATTGGTTTTGGGGGTTATAGCATCAACAGTTAAGGAATTAGGGGCCAAAAAGGGGCCAAAAATAAGCATTTTTGTAACTTCCAGACATAACTTGTGTGTTAGTATATGGATCTCTCTGACTTTGTACCACAAGGTTCCATATCACAAAGGGAATGCTGGGATTGATTTTGGGGGTAATTGCCTCAAAATTTTAGGAATTGGGGGCCAAAAAAACAAGCATTTTTCTAGTTTCATGACAATAACTTGTGTGTACGTGCATGGATCTTTCTTAAATTGTACTACAAGTTTCCATATCACAAAGGGAAAGCTGGAATTTAGTTTGGAGGTAATTGCCCTAAACTTTTAGGAATAAGGGGCCAAAAATAAGCATTTTTCTAGTTTCCAGACATTCACTTGTGTTCAAGTGTATGGATCTTTCTCTGAAATTGTACTGCAAGGTACCATACCACAAATGGAAGGCTGGGATTGATTTTTGGGGTAATTGCTTCAAAATTGTAGGAATTAGGGGCCAAAAATGGGCAAAAAACAAGCATTTTTCTAGTTTCATGACAATAACTTGTGTGTACGTCTATGGATCTTTCTTAAATTGTACTACAAGCTTCCATATCACAAAGGGAAAGCTAGGTTTGAGTTTGGGGGTAATTGCCCTAAACGTTTAGGAATTTGGGGCCAAAAAGGGGCAAAAAAAACCAAGCATTTTTCTAGTTTCCAGACAATAACTTCTGTTCAAGTGTATGGATCTCTCTGAAATTGTACTGAAAGGTACCATACCACAAAGGGAAGGCTGGGATTGAGTTTGGGGGTGATGAATCATAAGGGGGTTCAAAAAATGGGGGGGGAGGGTTTCCTTTTTTTTTCTTTAAAATTTTCCATTTTAAATTGGTTATTTCTGATTTATATATAAAAGCAAATAATAATTATATTGTTTGAATAGGTAAATTAAAATTTTTTAAGTTCTTAGACCTCATTCATTCTGTGTCAGAAACCTATGCTGTGTCAAATATTTAATCACAATCCAAATTCAGTGCTGTATCAAGCTTGAATGTTGTGTCCATACTTGCCCCAACTGTTCAGGGTTCGACCTCTGCGGTCGTATCAAGCTGCGCCCAGCGGAGCATTTTATTATCAGTCATAGAGAAGAAGAATTATTTAGTCTCAACCTTTATCAGTATATAATGCAGTTCTATAACAAACTTATATTTTCATACTTTGGTTTGCAACTTTTATAAGATTACACATACAAATTCGTTAATGAATAAATAAAAAAATTTAAAAATTCAATACTTGTTAAACAATGATTATGAATAAAATAAAAAATAAAATGCATGTACATCAAACTAAATATCACTTAACAAAAACTATCTCACATTCAATTAATGATAAACGAGACAGATTTCCTTTAAATTTTGGCAAAAGTAATACATTTTCCTGACGCTAGACTCTACTGAACTTGATGCAACCAGTACTGACTTGACCACAAGTACGGAGTTTCTGATTTGAACATTGAATATTTTAACAAGACCGAACGATTCTTAAACCGCTGCAGTCGCATAGCACGCGTATGTTTACTTAACACGCACTGAACGACTGAAAAGGGTCTGTATCAGTTTTGCTCGCTGTCAGTTCAAGGATTAAAGAGTTGTTAACATTAAAGTGACCGTTTTCAGTATTGGAAGTCGTTACTAGTGTATATGACCAAAAGGGACTTTAATAGAATAGCCAAAACCATATTAGTTTAACTTTTCCTGAGTGGGTTTAAGAGATATGTGTTATAAATCTAGTCAGAGGTGATGCACATATTACTGGTCTGATGTTACCCCGCGAGTTAACAGTTCACCGGCAGTAGTATTATCCCAATGCTAGATAATAAGAATATCACTTGGTGCATCCGAACGCTTTTCTGGATTTACGTTCATCAAGCTCAAAACAAAAAATGTAAAACGCGGTATACATGAATACTTAAGCGTTATGAACAAAGAGGGTTTGAATAGATTGGCCATGTAAAAGATGGTGTTTTTTCGCCATACAAATGCTCAATAACTTTTTTAAAACTGTCTAAATAGAGAATATGAGAAACTTAATTGCCAAATGGATTTCTTTGAAAGCTCAATTACCCACATACTACAACACGAAAGGTTTTGTTTCTGCAAACGAATGGTAATCGCATGATTTTTTGGAGAACTGATATCATAATAAAATAATCATTATTCATAGTTGAAATTTTTTTTTATTTCAAAATGGTAAAAGATAATTGTTTTTTTTTCAAATTGATTGCTTAATTATGCAACTTTGTAGAATCAAGATAAGTTCTTTTCCCACATACTAATTGCATGGTGCTATACGAGAAAGGAAGCTATTTTGATCAATATAAATTTTATCTTTCTTATTCCAAAATTTGGTCGCCTATGAAGTGATGTTTTTTTGGGGGGGGTTTTCTCCAATGTTTTTTAATGGTCGCATTGTTCATTAAAGGAAATTTTAGTGGAGTGAATCGTTCATCATCAGGAAATGTTCTTTATTTAGCAATACCGGATACCATTTTGTACTGAATAATGCACTGACAGAATGTGTTTACATTTATTTGTTTACACATGTTATCATAGATTTGATATTGATATATAACAACTTTATATTAAACATATATAATATTATGTCAAAGTTCAGTATGTTAGTATGATGGCTATGAAACAAAATGTCCAAATACAGAAAGGTATTTACATAATTTATATTTTATTGGGTTGAAATTTACAATAGATATAGGAAGATGTGGTATGAGTGCCAATGAGACAACTCTCCATCCAAGTTACAATTTATAAAAGTAAACCATTAGATTAGTATGAAGATATTTACATATATTCATGCAATTCAAATAAAATTTACAACATGACATTTATGCAAATATACTGGAAAGAATGTTTTTTTATGCTCCGTACTAGGATTCAGAATTTCTGCGGACTTTTTTGTTGAGTTTAGTTTGTCTTTTCGTCTTAATACTTTTGGCCACGAAGTTCTTTTTCCTTCTGCGGGTTATGATTTCCCATCTATATTTCTTGTATTTTTCAAAGAGATTATAATCTTTATTTTGTTGCAACTTTAATTTACGAAAAAAACCGGTGAGTTAGTCATATTTTTTTATTTTAGTTTTGTCATTTTCTCATTCTTCAACAGGTTTCGATTATAAATTTAACTTATTTTGGTGAACTTGATTTCTATCTGACAATGAATTATACGGTTCCTTGTTGATCATATTAAGGATTGGTTATCGCTCACGAGAATGATTATCATCAATTGTCTATTTTTGAGTTGTGAAATGACAAGTTTCCAACAAAATTAATATTTCATATTTGATAACAAAAAAATTAAGCAATTTTGGCGAATTTAAAAGTTTTGAATACATGACTAAATATTTTTAACTTAAAGTAATAATACATAAAACAGTTTTTCAAAATATTTCTGTGTGCAATTTCATAATAGTAACTGAGAAATACACTAAAGCTTAGTCATTACACCAAGAAATCATGTGGCACTGATTAATAAGTAACTTCCAAAGAAAAAGAAAAATAACAATGGCAAAAAAAATAATAATATAACGTTTTTGATACGAGTCTTTGAAACTGTTAACGACATCTTTAAAACTGCAATTTGCTTTATTAGAATTAAACACAAAATATTCAACTGTACAGGATAGTGATTATTTTTCGGTGATAATCTTCTTTCCAATATTATCAATATAAACAAATGGAAACATCTAAACCTGAAGAAGATATTAAAAACCCCAATACAAGACAATGTATATTTACATGCAGAGCCAAGATGGGGACGATGCATTGGTTGTCCTGATACAAGATGATAATGTTATCGAATATCGACTTCCAGTGTGGAGGAAAATATGCTTCGCCATAGGTGGAGTACCATACCAAATGACAAACGCTGTTGTTAGCTTCTTTTTCAGTATCTTTCTCCTGGAAGTAGCAGAGGTATGTTGTGTAGTGAGATTTAATAAGGCATACACTACTATCACTATGGCAGATTCAAAAGAATCTGTGTTTTCAATTTACATAAAAAAAAAAATATTTTCCTATCGTGTGCAGTAGATTTGTAAACATTGCCAAACATCGCTGAATCAGGTTCAGTTGAAGCGGCTCTAAGCAATAAGAAATAAAAAATGTTTCCAGAACCATCTATCAAATTGTCCATCAATTGGTCAATTTACAATTAGGAGGGAACACTAATTGAAAATCCGATTTAATTTCAGATATATCTTAACTCGCTTACTAGGCTCTTATGGACATAGCGAAATCGCGTACATATATTTTAATTAAATTGCTATAATTGACAGTTTGATATTTTAGATGGCATCCATACTTTTTAAAATGGATGTAATGTATATAATAGTAATAATAATATATATTATATAATGAATAAAATGGATATACATGCCATTTCTTTCTAAAGATTAGGCCAACTTATGCTTCAATCATCGTCTTTGGAGGAAGAGTCTGGGATGCTTTTACTGATCCTATGTGTGGCTTTCTTGTTAGCAAAACGAACACTCGTTTTGGAAAATTTAGACCCTGGTGAGTTAAAAATACTACATACAGTTCTACATGTACCAGAGGTGGATCATACTTTTAACATAGAACTGTGATAATACAGTTCTTCATATCGTACTGCAGCCCCAAAAATCAGAACCGGACTGAGGGAGAGCTACTATAAGAATCTATTTGACAAACATAGTCGAGAAAGAATTATTGTTCAGTTTAAAAAATGTACTTACGATTTGAGCAATAAAATCAAATGAATTATAAAAAAATAAAGCACAGTAAATGAATAGAATGATTACAGTGATTAAAGTACATTTAAACAAAAACATGTATATACATTTAAACAAAGTAATATATTAACAATGTCATTGACAATTATGTAACATATGATGTATGCAGTTTTCGTCCCTTTTGGTCCCAAACGACACAAAAGGCTTTTATCAGTTTCAAAAAAAATTTAATAAAATGGGGAATGCAAAATAATACAGTTCTAAGAATGGAAAAAATTTTAGAGCTAAAAAGGTCAAATTTCTAGGATAAAGATTCCCCATTTCCATTCTCAATTTTAAGTATACATAAAAGAGAGGCGAAATATCCCAAAAGGACAATCAAACTCAAAAGTCGAAAACGAACTGACAATGTCATGACAAGAAACAAAAAAAGAAGATCAATGACAACCATGAGTATACAAAACACAACATAGAAAAGTACAGACTGAGCAACACGAACCATACAAAAAACCGGGCGTGATCTCAGGTGTTAACCGTACATGCATCTAATGGCGATTCACTTAATACTTGACATATATTACAACGGTAGGTAAAATGACATTTACCAGATGGGAATATGTGCAAAACTTATAATATGATCGCTGTTGAAACAAAGGAATTAAGAAGATACCAAGATGTCAATCAAAAATCATAAATGAAAAGAAACTTCCGGCCTAAGAGACTTGTCAACCCAAGTTAAGTCATGCACTGCAAACAAAGAAAAGTCTGGAATAACTTGAATTTTGACTGTACTGTTTACTTCATTATTTACAGGATATTGTTTACTGCACCATTTGCCTGTATTTCCTACTTCTTACTGTGGTACGTACCAGACTTTTCAGAGGAGGGCAAGCTTGGATGGTACTTTGTTTTCTATTGTTTATTCCAGTGTCTAATGTCCGTAAGTACTTTTGATTTTTTTTTATAAAAAAATCTATGATATTCAGATTCAGCAATTTACCAAGTGGTAAGAGTTCCATATGGCACCCCACCATACTAAAAGAACACAATAATGTATTACAGTTTATTTCGTGGGGTGCCATATGGAACTCTTTCCCGACTTTTTAACACTATGCTAATCCATAGAAAACATGAACCCAAATTGATTACAAGTTTAACATATCACCTGTTCTTTTGTTACCCGTATAATACTGATATCAGCTTATAATTTTCTGATTTCAGGGTCTTCATGTACCATACACATCACTGACCATGGTGATCAGTAATAATCAAAAAGACAGAGACTCGGCTACAGCTTACAGCAAGTACATTTCATTTGTAGCTTCAACGTATTATTTCTTTTTGAAATGCTTTAGAATCGGAATAACAACTTACTGTAGTTGAACACTGAGTTGCCGCCAGTAAAACTGTCATTTGACGGCGACAACTCTTCAACTACAGTACTGTTATTCTTTCTTTATCGCGTTTAGTCTAAAAACGTTGCGGTCAAATGGTTAATTATACGAACCGAAAATTTGATTTACACCGGTTGTAAAAAACTCTGATATTTTTTTGGATATTCGAACGGCAAAGCCGGGATATTTTTTGCTTTTATTTCCCAAGAAATAAATCATTCCATTGTACAACGATGTTGCAAACGTAAATTACACGGACCAGAGGTAACCAAAAGAAATTCCATTTTTATAGTAAAAATAATTTGCATAATTAGTTCCAAAAGGTTGGGCTAACTACATTCGGGTCTTAATGGAATTCTTCATTGTGTTCTTCGTAACTGATTAACAGAAAAATAGTCCGGGTATTGTTAATATGTTAGTATACATTTCTTATAACAATTGTATGTGACATGTTGGGAGAAATTGCATGTTTTTACGTCTGAAATTTTTTTTTTATATCGAGACAATCGATTCTACATTTTATTCCTCAAGTCATTTTGAGGTAGAAATTATCTTTCATACATTTTACGCTTTCAGAACCATTTTGAGCTTCTGTCATGTGCAAGAAGAATGTTTTTGTTCATGATGATTTTTTTATTAAAAAAAAATGAAATAGCTTAAACAAATTTAAGTCTATTTTTTTTCTACATCCGTTCATTTAGAGATATAAATAAACTTTCAAACTTGCGTTATCAAAGCCTTCATTTTTTTTTAAATTTAAATAATGTATATTTTTACAAAAACATTTTAAATTGTGAAGGAATGGGAGCTGAAGCCATAGGTGTATTAGCTGCCTCTGTCATACAAGGTTTGTTTGTGAACAAGTATCGCATAGCTGGTGAATGTGATGAGAACAGCAAAATAACTGCCGAAGAACTTAAAAACCAAGTAAGACTTATTACAACACCTTATTTGGTATCATTATCACGACTTATTTAAGGATGTATTCTTCTTCGTTCAGTATCGTTGAAATCTCGTTCTGGGATTATTTCCAAAACATGTGATTCAAGTGGAAATTATCAATGAATTTAAAAAAATATTATAATCAAACTTAACTCTATGCAAAAATTGTGTATTTACAATAAGTAGTTTTTGAGTAATGACATTTTTAAATTTTATAACCAATCAAGTCAGTCAATCTAGCCAAAATGTCGAGAAAACGGGTGAGGGGTATAAGAAATTATTTTAGCAATGTATTGTGGAATAACACATAGTCATAACAAATAATATCAATAAAAGAAAGTTCGCCTTTGTCAATTGCGTCGACTAGGTCGTTTAATTATAGATTGTTTAACACCCCCATTATTGCCCAGAGCACAACTATAATTGGCGCAGTGTATATTATAACCAATCAATCCTATTGTAGAAATAATCTTACAACATTGGCGCAGTGTATAGTATAACTAATCAAGTCTTACACTATTGGCGCAGTGTATCGTATAATTAATCAACCCTTTTGTAGAAATGGTCTTCCATCATGGGCACAGCGTATAGAATAACTTATCAATCCTATTATAGAAATGGTCTTAACACATTGGCGCAGTGTATATTATAACTAATCAATCCTATTGTAGAAATGGTCTTACCACATTGGCGCAGTGTATAGTATAACTAATCAATCCTATTGTAGAAATGGTCTTACACCATTGGCGCAGTGTATAGAATAACTAATCGGGTCTCACACTATTGGCGCAGTGTATGGAATAACCAATCAATCTTATTGTAAAAATTTTCTTACAACATTGGCGCAGTGTATAGCATAACTCATCAATCCTATTGTAGAAATGGTCTTACAACATTGGCGCAGTGTAGATTATATCAAATTAATCCTGTTGTAGAAATGGTCTTACACCATTGGCGTAGTGTATATTATAACTAATCAGGTCTTACACCATTGGCGCAGTGTATGTTATAACTAATCAATCCTATTGTAGAAATGGTCTTACATCTTTGGCGCAGTGTATCGTATAATTAATCAATCCTATTGTAGACATGGTCTTACAACATGGGCGCAGTGTATAGTATAATTAATCAATCCTAGGGTAGAAATGGTCTTACACCTTTGGCACAGTGTATAATATAATTAATCAATCCTATTGTAGTAATGGTCTTACACCTATGGCGCAGTGTTTAGTATAACTAATCAGGTCTTACACCTTTGACAAAGTGTATATTATAACCCTATTGAAGATATGGTCTTACACCTTTGGCGCAGTGTATAGTATAATTAATCAATCCTATTGTAGAAATGGTCTTACAACATGGGAGCAGTTGTTATAATTAGTGTTTATATGTTGTCATCTATCATTGTGTTCTTTGGTACCAAGGAGAGAATAGGTAAACCTTATAGTATTTTGATAAATAATCAGTATGCAATATAGTACTATATTCCATAAAAGGAATTCAATAAACAAATTATATCACGTACGAGGTAAAATAATTCTCAAAACAGTATGAACTATTGCTTAAATAAATCGGGTTTGAATGTCTAATGCAATTTTTATTTGTGAAATCTTGAACAAATCGTACAGGGAGGTATACTTCTCCCCTAAGTTACCAGTTCTATAGACACTAGGTCATACTTATTTTTTTCAGGTGTAATCAGTGAAAGCCATGGAGGATTTATGAGAGGCCTAAAATTGACTCTTTCTTTTAGACCATATAAACTTTTATCGTTTTCTTTCTTGTTCTTATCATTAGGAATCGCAGTAAGTTGTATATAATATGTAAAACACTTATATACATATGATTAAAGAAGACGTGGGATATACGCCAATGATACAGAAACCAAACTCCAAAGATAACTAAAAGACATCTTAAGGGTAGCATAGATCAGTCTTCAACAATACACAAGTGTTACGGTATTACCATATGTCACTGAAGCTCTTAACCGTCAATAGTCTATAAAAATTGTGAATAAATTAAACAGAATTAACAACAGAATTGCCATTTGCACCCGATTTCCTAAAATAACAAAAAACATTAAGATATAAATGTTTACCACTTTTAGCTTTGTAAAGATGTATTTTATTGTAGCATCTTTCTAATGAAAGTTTGTCAGAAACATAACGATTCTTTTTTCGATTGATTTGCATGAGATCTTTTTCGTATGTATGTCAATGAGACAGCAAACCAAAGACATATAATTAAAAGACATTTAAACGGCAACATACAGGCTTCAACAATAGACAGATGGCCATGCAATATGACCAACTATAAATCACTACGAATATAAATCAAATTGAATAAATTAAACAAAAACGACCACTAATCTGCCGTCAACACTTCATTAACTAACATAACAACAAAAAAAAAACCATAACGATATTAATATTTCCACAATTAAATCTGTAAAGATGATTTTAACTTGCTATAGATATTTTAAAAGTACGACAAGCAAGGAATATGGTTTCAAAATTGCTAAAGTTGATATGAAATTTAAAATCTATGGTTGAATTAAGAGCTACCTTTGTGTACAATCATCATTGGCTTTATTTGGATTTTAGTGCTCTTGTTGTAGTTCATCATGAGAAACGCTTCAAGCACTGTATACCGGTATTTGTTTAATGTACTTATACTATCTATTTTTATAGATTGTGCAAGGGAATCTCGCTCTGTTCTGCACACATAGTTTAGATTTAGGAGAACACTTCTCAACATTCATCACCATATTATTGGTAGGTAAAACTCTAAATGACGATTTCTTTTTATGAATATTCCGTGAAAAAATCTGAACACCTCGCTATTATAAACCCGTATTTATATCCTCCGTGTTTCTTAGGACGGTTTGTTACTGATCGTTTAAACAAGTCCATAATACGGCGTGTTACTGATCGGTTGAACAAGTCAACAATAAGGATTGTTACTGATCGGTTTAACAATTCATAAGTACGAGTTGTTACTGATCAGTTGAACAAGTCAAAAGTATGGTTTGTTACTGATCGATTAAACAAGTCAAAAGTACGGTTTGTTACTTATCGGTTAAACAAGTCAAAAGTACGGTTTGTTACTGATCAGTTAAACAAGTCAAAAGTACGGTTTGTTACTGATCGATTAAACAAATCAAAAGTACGGATTGGTTACTAATCGGTTAAACAAGTCAAAAGTAAGGTTTGTTAACTTACTGATCGATTTAACACGTCAACAGTACGGTTTGTTACTGATCGGTTAAACAAGTCAAAAATATGGGTTGTTACTGGTCGGTTAAACAAGTTAATAATACGGTTTGTTACTGATCCGTTTAACAAGCAAGTTAAACAGTTTGTTACTTGTCGGTTCAACTTGTCAGTCGTACGGGTCGTACTGATCTGTCAAACAAGTCAAGAAATATTTGAGAGGAAATCATATCAAAATTACCCTTTGCAGATTCATTGCCAAACATGAGTTATAAGAGACACGTATATATATGATCATCTACAGTAATATTTAACTTTGATGAACATATCAGTAGGAAGCAGTCTAATAATTTGAAATTTCCAACATTTGTCCCAGAGATATGTGTTTTATTTGTCTAAGATATACTTGTATTTGCCGCTTGATAACTTTATATTAACTGTATCTACATTGAAATAATTGAATTATTGAAGTATAAGTATTTTGAAGATGTATCACAAAATGTAATAGATTCTCTATGCATCAGAATTTTTACCATAGATGGGTGTACTTGCATCCGCAGGGTTAAATCCCCCACAGTCTGTCAAGTGAATCTGCCTGGGGTTCTCATTCTAAGGAATACACATATCTTGCATAAATACATGTACATGTAGAAAGAAATGTATGCAAAATTTAGTTAGAAGACCCATTACTACATTGATGATACCCAACAAAAATCACATTTACATTTTTAATTTAAATTCATGTAAGCATACAAAAGGATTTAAAACACTCATGTGCCGGTAGAAGTTTAAACAAATAAGAACGGACAGGCTCTATCATAGATGAGCGTCGTGAAAAAATTCTTTTTCAATGGAAAATGTGAAAATAACTAAAATGAAATGTTTTTCTCCTTTTTTGAGCTCCTTTGTCATTTTAAATTTCAAACCCTCGTTAAACGGCTGAATCGTGCTTCAGCCATTTGTTTTACAAATTTTGCAAATTTTACACAAGTTCAGATGTATATAAACGTACAAATGCAGAACTTACATCGATCAACTATAAATGGGATTTGTTTATTTCATGCAAGAAATTATACCACAGTTAGTGTTGTTATACCTGCACGTTTCCTATGGACTTAAAGTCGTATGAAACGAGTTTCTTGTAATTTTTATGTTATCGAAATTATTGAACCAATGCATGCATATATACTAAATAATCCTGTATGCACGTTTTTTTAATACTTATCATGAATCTATAACGTACTGATTATCGACAAATGATATTTCATTCAGTGATTGTTGATCGCAAGCTTATTAATTTTCGAGTTTGTTGCTGAAGTGTACCGGATCGTGACATTGATAAACAATCATCACAGTACGTGACAAATAAGGGAATTGATAGAGCCATGATATTCATTTTATTTTTTTCCAGGCGTTCCCATTTGTTAATTAAACTTTCTTTAGTTGTTGTTACATGATTGGTTGTGTTAAATTTGTTCTTTAAGACTCAGTTATTACTATTTACCTTCCAGTGCTCGTTAATTTACATTCTTTCATCACGCCTTTTTACACAAATGTGCATCTATTTTGAAAAAAAATATAATTGAGTAATATTTCAGAAAATAAAACAGATAAATGCATTTTTTTTCGATTTTCAGTTATAGTTCAACGAGCCAAAGTTGTATGCATCTGTAGCCCATTTTCTGTACCTTGACCTGAACGACCGAAATTTATATCTTTAATGTAATTTTTAATGAATTAGTGTTTATACATTCCAGGTTTCTGCAATATTATTCATTCCCATTTGGCAAGTTGTATTAATAAAAATTGGCAAAAAGAAATCTTTTGCAATAGGAATGATTGTAAGTGTATTTCATTTTATTCATAGTACTAACATTCAATGTAGACATGCCAGTAGATTGTTACTATTGACGTGTACTGTTTTGCTCCCCGTGCATCATGGTGACAATAAAATAATGATTCACTTTTTCGAATGAATCAAAGGGGAGGAAATACAAAGGAGATAGTAAAACCATAAATGGAAGTGAAACAGATACCACTATGGCAAAAGACGAACCGACAAAAGAACATTTCACTAAAAATTACACATAAAACTAAAGGTTAAGCAACGCAAACCTGACCAAAACTGTACAGTATTAATTGTAACTTGTTTTCATTTATACAAATGTTTAAAATTTGCATGATGAAAGAAGGTTAATAGCTTATATTTTTCCATACATATCAAATTAGTCAGTACTTCTCTTTAAATGTTGCTTCCAAATGTGATATGTGACTGTATTAATTCTCAAAATGTGTACTTAATCTTTCGATTGATTAAAACCATAAAGCTTTATTTCTGTTTTACAACTACTGAGTTATATATACGAACAAAAAGAGATGCGAGGTATACGTCAGTGAGACAGCAACCCAAATGCCTTAAAGACCGTGAATGTTCAACATAGGATGTCGGCTCTATTCATAAACCAAGTTGCCAAATAACTAAAATTTCCTTGCTTGGTCTCTTTTTTTGTGTCTGAAAATTTTAATCAAAAGCAAGTTTCTCATGCGATTTTGACATTTGCACTTTTGTTATAGAACTTCATATACCGGTAAAAAGTGTTTCACCATTTGAAAATTCCGCTATATATTTCATATAGTAACACATTTTCAATAAATATTCTTCTTAAGATATTTCTTTTCCGAATTGAATGAAATATTTCCACTAAATACAAAAAATTCTCCAGTTTCTTGCTAAATATACTACGAGCACACAAGGTTGCCAATAGGTTTTTCAGAGCTTACATAAAACAACTACACGTAATCATTTGGCTAATTTTTGAAGTAGAAAACTGTGTAAGGAATAACCAAAATAAAAAAAAACAACACCAACATGTCATTCATATTCCTCTGATATGAGAGTTCATAAAGTATCCAAAACTGATTTTTTTATAGAAATATATGAAATGTTGTTACAATTTTGCTTGTCTTGTATTTAGAAGGCCCTTTTCGCGAATTAAACTTGTATATCAAGTCGCTTATCACTTTTATAGTTGTGATTTATGTTGACAGATATTCATTCCAGTTTTGATATCTCAACTGTATATACCAGGGAATGTGTATGCATACTATCCTATACTTGTACTGGCTGGTATTAGTATCGCTGTTGCTTTATTACTTCCATGGTAAGACCATTTGTGTTTTACTGATATAAATGTGTTGAACTGTGCCATTTGTATCTACTAATCTTAAAAGAATATTTGATCAACACTGAAATTTGAAATCGTCTTACATAAATTTAGGAATAGGGAACGACATGATATAGAGATGGATGCATGCGAAACAATAACCTCATGAAATACTAAATAAGAAGTTTACATTGGAGTATCAACGCTCAATTTGCTCTTCTTTAACTTGACAGTTGTTGGAAAAGTCTTAATTTATGAGCACATATAACACACATGAAAATCAAGACGAACATTGGGGTATAGTCAAACAAACAGCAACCAAACGACACAACAACCAGAAGACATCTTTGTCATCTATTTGGTACGGTTTGATATTCACTAGTAAGTTTTTTTTTTGCCTTAGAAGTCTCAATGAACTAAATGTCTAAATAAAAATTGAGTTTCTGCTTAGCTTCCATGTAGAAAACTGTAGATGATCATATCTGCATTTTTTATGTTTATTTTCGGATTCTGCAATTAAGATTATGAATGTCCATCTTTCCTAGGTCAATGTTGCCAGACGTATTAGATGAATTCATGCTTCAGACAGGAACCAGACAGGACGCCATATTTTATTCTTTTTATGTATTCTTTAATAAATTAGCTGTAGGAGTAGGTCTAGGATTATCTCAGCTCGCATTAGGGTTAGTAAAGTATAACATTATATGTGGGTACGAAACCTCATCACATAACATAAATTTCTTGGAATACTTTATGATTACAACTTAATATGTGTAAATTAATAAAAAATGTTGCAAAATATTTAAACTACGTTCAAACATTACATACAACAATATTTTCAATGACAAGCTTTTTAAAAAAAAAGAAACTAGAAAGATTTTAATCGTTTCCTAACAGAAGACGCCATTGCCATTCAGTATTATCTAATTTAAAACTGTTTAAAAAACTTTGAAATGTTCGAAATACAACAGTAAGGCAAAACCTTTCGAAATTTTGGGTCCTAAATGCTCTTCAACGTCGTACTTATTTACCCTTTTAACTTTTTTGATTCGAGCGTCACTGATGAGTATTTTGTAGACGAAGCGCGCGTCTAGCGTACAAAATTATAAGCCTGCTATCTTTGATGACTTTTTTTATTCGGATTCTCCGTAATCTTTACCTTTTCGAATAATGTTTTTACTGCTTTTTCATACTTCAGTATAGGAGGCTACAAAACGGGGGAATGTGATCAACCAGCATCAGTAGGACTGGCTTTACGTTACTTAGTAGTACCGGGTCCTGTTATATTCACGCTTATAGCCTTGTTGATTCTATGGCGCTACCCTATTGATGAAAACAGAAGAAAACAAATTAAAAAAGAGCTTGAACAATTAAAGTAAGAAGTACTTTTTATTTTTTGTTTTATTTTCTCGCAATCATTAATATTATTATATTGTATTACATCCGTTTGTACCTACAGAATTTTCCGATCTGCATTTTAATTAATAAGTCTAAATTATCGAGAAAGAGAGAGATATTACAAAAGAACAATGTGCGCAAATTTTTGTATGTTATATTTTCAAGTCTGCAGAATGATTCGAATTTTAAACTTCAAAAGTATTCAATCTTACATTCGTGATGTACAGTCGAACCTCGCTGTGTCGAAGTAGGTTGTTGTCGAAAACTCGGATGAGTCGAAGTAATTTCTCAGTCCCGGTAAAATTCCCGTTTGATCAATGCATAATTACCTTTGATGAGTCGAACTCGGTTGATTCGAATACTCGATTAAGTCGAGTTAATTTTATAGTCCCATCGATGTAAAATTAATGTAAATTGATCCCGATGTCTCGAAGTTCGAAAGTAAGAATTTGTATGTCAAAACTTTCGCTAATGAATGCTTTCGTGGAAAACAATATTTCTGTTTTTTTAGCATTTAAATTTAGTACCAGAAATGGAAAATTGTCATAAAAAAGATTTTATATATGACTAAATGAAACTTGGAGTAAATGTCATTGAGCAACTCAACAAATGAAAACAATTAAAAGACATGCATTAAAGAGAAGAGATTGCACATCATCCAAGCATACTTATGTTAAGGCTACAAATTCGGAAATCATAACTTTCAGACTTAATACAAAATATTCACTCAAGCATGCTCATGATAATTTATGAATATAATGGGAGGAAAACTCACCACGACGCCATTTTTTATTTCGTTATGTCTTACTTATAATCGATTTTCTATAACTTGCTATCTAAATTTCTACATCGAAGTCAATATGGTTAAATTAAGCCTCCTTTTAAGCGAACAAATAATCCTGACTTGCTTGGTTCATATATTCTTTTTTTCAGAGCAGATCGAAAACCTAGTTCTAAAGAAGTGGATCAAGTAGAAGATCCTCCCCCGCCAGATGAGATGTATCAATCATCACGTAGTTATCAAACTACTGGAGAAAATCTCACCACTGATAGTTGATCTTCACATCTTGAATATCCAGAAACTTTTACTTGAAGGTGTACTCTGAACTTTTTTTTATATAATTGTGGATTATTCAATTGATGCGGCTCAGTCTTATTGTAAAAATAATTTTCCGTTATGAATTATAGGTATTTTTTGCACATATCTTTAAAGGAAAGTTTTGACCTCTAATAAGCAAATTTAACCTTAAATTAACATTGCATGATAAGATTTATTATTAATATTTTGACTGGAGAAACTTCTGGGTTTTGGGAAAAGGAAGGCTATATTGTTTGGACAGAGACATACACAAATTAAATTTTAAAAGTTATGACATTACTAACCTCAGATATAGATTATTGAATATTGTTTAAGAATAAAGCACATATATCATAAACTAATTTCACTCTTTGTTTTTATAATGTATATGTGTCATACTTGTAATCTAGAGTTTGTGTTTATGGTATTCTTCAAGTTTAGTTTATGAACCTTCTTTCTTTGATGTATTAGAAAAGTTTCACTTACAAGCGTCGTTAGTATTTACATTTATAGTAAATCATAAAATTTAATAAATTACATTAATGAAATGTACAAAAAACTGTTGAGTCATTTATTTTCAATTTTATGAGAAGTTACAAAAATGAGATATAGCTAGATTTATTGTATATTTTATTTCAGATGATCAAAGACACGAATGTTTCTCAAAATCTAATATTGCAATGTTGCTTTGAAGAATGACACAATATGATACGAATATATGGTTTAATATGAAAACATGACTATTTTCTGAGTGTTTCTTTTATGAACTTAGGAAAACAGCAAATGATTAGCGTTGTTATCAAAATATACGTTATTAGCACCTGCTAATAATTCATGTTGTGACCTACATTCTGAAATTTCGAGACGGCACTCATCCCTGGTTAATTACGTGAAACTGTGACATAACTACGTTTAGCATGTTCAAGAAAAGAAGTTTGTGAAGCTATACTCTTAAAATTTAGTCGTGTATCAAAACCAAAAACACATATTTAAAGTATTATCTTCGTCGTCTTTTGTAGATTCAATAGATTGTATGATTTTACAATAAACAAATTATCATTAAAATCATGTCGGTATCGAAGAACTGTCTAACTAAGAATGTTGTACCCTCTAAGACAGACAATCCACCTGCAGAAACCCTACAGGTTGACTGGGGTATATGGTCATTCCTGCAATTCTCCCGTCGGGGAGTAAACCAATGCTCCAGTGATGCGTCCGTTTTGCTCTAAGGATGTATAAATACGCAGCCATGTCCGTTAGGAAAGGAGACATTAAATTCGATGCCCCGGGTGAAGTGTGAGTGCGACGTTCTCTGAAAGTTAAAAGAACCTTTGCTTCATGTCTATGAGGGGTTCGAAGATGACCTGTTGTAAAGCATCCTCTACCCATTCTCAGTTTCAAGAGGTAGATCAACATTCCGCCCTCCATCCCGGTCGACCTACTTTGCAGAACTATATACTAGTATTTTTTTGTAAATTTGTTTTCATGCATGAAATATTTGCCACTGCATGTTAATAAACAACAATTCATCAACCTGAAGCAGAACCCACCAAATGGTAGTATGTATAAAGCTAAAGAAGCGTTTTCTATATTGTCGAATCGAATGATCAAAGGCAATCGCGCAGATAAACATTTGCAGACAATTTTTGCTGTTGGAAGTCTTAACTGAAATATTCTTCCGTTGTGAAAACAGTCAACATTTTTTTTTCTTGAACTCGGCTAATAAACATGTCATTGTTATACACAGATTTTTATTGGAAAAGGAATACCATTCTATAATTACACAAACACATAGAAAACACACTCATAAAATGAGAACTACGCCTAGTTCATCTCTTTCGGGTTTATTAAAAACCAAACTACAGTGCAAAATTGTATACCTACACGATAGTGCTGTGTGTATTTAACTTGTCCACCCTCATATCGTTATTTCTTCACATGTGGCTTAGTCAGTTCAGGGAATAAAAAAAACAAGAAGTTCTTCGTCCAAATGTATCTGATGATAGTTACTTACGAAAGTACGCAAAAATGAAGAACGGTCTTTCGTCAAACAAATAGACGAGTTGATTCCATTTGCTCCATCATGTGTTTGAAATTACATATCAATTTTTAACATATCAAGTCGCCCCCTAACAGTGTGTCTTTTTATGAGGTAATGTTATACCACTCTTTCAGGTTAGGGTGAAGGTTGGCGCCTGATAAAATGTTTAAACCCGCTGCATTTTTATGCACCTGTCTTAAGTCAGGAGCCTGTTGTTCAGTGGTTGTCGTTTGTTGGTGTGGTTCATAAGTGTTTTTCGTTTCTCGTTTTTTTATATAGGTAAGACCGTTGGTTTTCCTATTTGAATTGTTTTACACTAGTCTTTTTGGTGCCCTTTATAGCTTGCTGTTCGGTGCGAGCCAAGGCTCCGTGTTGAAGCCGTACTTTGACCTACAATTGTTTATTTTTTGCACGTTGTGTCTTGAATGGATAGTTGCCTCTTTGGCACTCATACCACATCTTCATATTTATATTACAAAACTAATCAGATTTGGTAAGATTGCCACCGAAACAACTACCCCGGCATAGATCAAAGGACAAAGATGTGAACAATTACAGGTCACTTTACGCCTTCAACAACCAGCAGCAAGCATACCGTTTAGTAAGTTATAAAAGCCCCGGTAATACAAAATGCGGAACAATTCAAAAGTGAAAACAACGGCCTAATTTATACTCATCAATGAACAACTAAAGACAAAAAGGTCAAGACAACAACAAACGGCAAAATCTTTACATGGATTTGGCTATTTATTAGGTCCTTTTTGGTTTATAGTTCTTCAACGTTTTCGGTCCTTATGCATCCTTGGCTTTCAAATATTCGTCTTTGAGCGTTCCTGATGAAGGTAAATCCAGAAAAGAGCTTCGGACGAATGAAATTTATAACGTGTTGTTTTAATTTTTTACAGGTTCGTGTATAGGGACTGGCACACAAATAATGCGATGGAGTTTAACATGTTTGTTAGCGCTCAACAACACAACATTAGAATAGAGCAAACTGGGAGTTGACTCATCAGATTGATTTGTTAAAACCTGGAAAACAATTCATGCTTAGTCATGGAAAATTATTAGAAATAAAGTCACTATGAGAACCGATAAAGACAATATTTAAAGATCTTACTAAAATGCCAAACATGACATCATTTAAGAATGAGTTTACTCAAAGTAACATAAGTATGCTAGGGTTGATATCTTTACTTACGAGCTCTATGAACAACATCCAGACAGAAATTAGGTACGTGAAAATTGTTCGTTTGTCATACGTATTAATGGATATATGCTATCTTCTTCGGGCGTATGACATTTACACCAATTTTGAAAATAAAAGTTTTCTTCATTTGCGCCAATTATTATTTTTTCATTTGCGCCAATTTAATTTGAACAGGTAAGATCTGATACTTATTAGATAATGTTGATCTCATTGATTTATGATAAGATAGGTCTTTTCACACAGAAATAAATCGGAGAAATAAGTCGATAATCTTTGATGGACATTCTTATACCCAATCAACCTTCAAAACAGAGATTTAAAGAATGCTTCATTAGCTATCTACTGGGAGAGCCGTAAATATACCCTAATTTGCCCAAGACTAGATAGAATGCACACACAGCCATCAGCTTGATGACCATCAAAACTAATAATTGGCGCTAATGAAGTGCAGATTGGCGCAAATGCAAAACGCCGTCTTCTTCAGGATTATTTATTAGGGAATATATATTTCGCACCTTAATGTATTCTTATAGTTTTGGCTTTACTTTGATTCCCGGTGTATATATACTTGCAAGTTGTTTGAAGCCCAGAATGTACTACTCACATAACCTTCGAGTATTCCATGTACATTAAAACAAATTCCACTACCCCTCTTTTCCGACAAATTTAAGAAAAACATTTATATAAAATCAGGGGTTCTATAATATTTAGTTAACTCTCAGTAATGGGCTATTTGAACTCTGGTGGATAGTTGTTTAATTGGAAATCATTCCATTTTAAATAACTGTTCTAAATTTTGGACAAAAGTTAAAGTTTAAATTTCAGGACGACATATATTTTTATGTTCAATGTTTACAACATTCGATGATCGTCATTGGATATAACACTCCTACTTACTGTATACGTAATGAAGTAAATACTCTATCACCTACAACTTCCTAATTTTCAGAGGCCATTCAGTTCCTTCAGTAAATACTAAAAATGTAAGTTAAAATATACTATTATTAATTCCTATTTGATTTCACACACAAAAAATCAGACCGTTATATTTATTCATTATTTTGTCGAAGTCAGACGGTTGTTTATTATTCCTGAAGATCCGATGCCGTGTTGATGTAATTACGTAGATGACATGTTATAATTCTATTTTATAGACAATAGACACTATTTATTTGCACGAACACATTACAGCCATTACAATAGACAAAATAAACAATAATATGTAACTACTAATCATAGTTTATTATCAAAACAAAGTGATGTGAAATTTTACAATACATTATATTATGAAACAATATTTTGTAGACAAATTAACGGAAGTAGTATCTTATTATTGCAGAAATTTTCAGTAAATATGGAAAACAGAAAAAAGTCTCAAGATGGAGCAATTGTTATGACATCTTTAGAACTGGATGGGTTTGTTTTGTTTATTTCAAATCTCACTACAAATAATGATCTTATGAAGTTTTCAGAAACTATATCTTCTAATCCTCTTCATCTTTATGCAAAATTACAAAAGATAAAAAATTCAATGGAGGCTGAAACAATACTTGTTGATACCATTTTGTCAAAACTAAGATTTTCGGAGATTGTTGCGACACTGTACAATAGTGAATATAGCTATATTGCAGAGATATTGTTCTGTTGTTATCTACACTGTCAACGGAAAGCATCTATTATTCGTATGAACAAGACACAAACAGAAAACCGAAGAAAAATAAGTTTATATTTCAGAGATATCAAGAAACTTGTACATGATATAGCATTCAAAAATCCACATGCAGATGTAAACAGACTCAGTAATATAATGAAACAGAACATTGAAACAGAAACAAATCCCGTCCGAAAGATGTATCTCTGTGACAAATATACTGCTCTTAAAGCAGCTGAAATGGATGCTCTAATCAATATCAGGGGTCGTGTATCTCCTGATCATGAAGGTTATGTTGAAATGGAGTCTTACATAACCAGTACATCTACTCCATCTATTTCCCAAGTTATACTGTATGGTCGTAAAGCAGACGTTCTTTCAACGGATGGTCGTTTTACAGAGGGAGAGGATTTACTTAGAGCAGCATACGTAGCCGCCGATAACAGTCTTCCATGTGTCGAAATCACGGACATGATATATAAAAATGTTGTTTTTAAGCTGTCTCAGTTTGAACAATCTCCAACTGAAGAACTTCAAAAATCTTTATTTTTAGAAGCCAGTCGGGGTATTTGGTCTTTAAACGAGGAATCAGATGACATGAGAGTATTTTGGAAACGTTTGTTTATTCTGAGAATGTCATTCTGTCTGTTAGGAATAGGCAAACTTTGTGAAATGATTAGTAGCTATGTGCCAACTGCTAAATCTATTACAGAGGCAGAACGGCTTTTAGAATCTGAAGATTTAAAAGATATGGAGCATAGACGAATGATGTTTTATTATATAGCCAAATCTCGACTCAATCAATTTAAGACTGATGTTAAGGAGTCACGAAAATGTCTCCAAATGGCACGGATAATAGCAAAAGAAGGAAATTACGCCGAAGACAAAGCGCTAGAAAAATATCAAGAGAAAATAGGATGTTTCCAAGAAAGATCGTATTCATCTAATTGCAGTTCTTTTGATTCTGTTTCTGAGACATCACCAATTGTTGACCATGTTCCATCAGTTTCAATAAGCTTTAATTCGTTGGAATTTATTGATGATTAATCATAAATTTTATCTATAGTCTATACGAATGGTAAATATAAAAAAGTTAATTTGTTAAAGGTTTATAAAGTAAGCGTTTCATATAATAAATGAAGTATGCGAATGCATATACGTTTCAAAAAATTATAAAGGCATGATCCAAGTTATCAAACGAGATAACAGACATCCTACAGCTACAAAGAAATAGGAATAAGAGATAAATATCCATTTGATTAATAAGTTAAATAATTTAATTCTTCGTGATACCGTCATAAGAAACTAGCTATATAAATATAATAGGATGTGGAATAATTGCCAATGAGACAACTCTCCACAAGAGAACAAATGACATAGAAATTAACAACATTACTTGTATTATAGGTCGACGTACGGCCTACAACAATGAGCAAAACCCATTCCGCATAGTCGGCTATAAAAAGCCCCGAAATGACAAATGTCAAAAAATTCAAACGAGAAAACTAACGGCCTAATTCATATACAAAATAATGAACGAAAAACAAATAGGATACACATAATGTATATATAGAAAACAGTAGTTTAACCGATGTTCAAAATTCATAAATCGATATAAAAAAAGAGAAAAGCCAAGATAACAAACATGCGTCCGTGTCGTATAGTTTTCTTTTCCCATGTTTGATATCTGATTCCTTGCCCGTATTTGGCTTTACTCTGGGTTTCATCAACTCTTTCAGGTTTGTATTAAATTTTAGACTTTCAAATATTTTGGCCTCGAACATCACTGTAGAGACAATGATTGTCGAAATGCGTATCTGGTGCAATTACATTAGTACCGTTAAGGATATTTGCTAAGTTCGTTTTTCATATACTGTCCTCTTAATGGTGTACTTAAGTGAAATAAAAAAAATCTAGAATCTAAATTTGATACTTTAAGTCGGAAGAGCATTAGTTAAGGAACAAAATAAGCTAAAAATATTGATAGGTTATGGAGCTCTTTTCGAGATATTTATTTTTTTAATGGCGAGACTTGGATTTTTAGGTTATATTTGCATTGATATTATTTGGGTCTCAAATCGAAAGAAAAAAAATCTAGAATCTGCTAAAATTTTGTAAATGACATTTTATGAGCTATTGAAGTCTTATATAAAAAGAAAAATGGGTGTTATGGGGCAAAATATTTCAACCTGTATCGTAAGGAAAAAACAAGGTGTTCGAACATCTGACACAAATTCCTAAACCTAACCTAAGTACACCCTTAATAGATAAGAAGCACACGCACTTGTCTCAGGAAAAAAATCCTATATACCTTAATATAACACAAGGTACTTAACTCGCATTTTTGAAAAATGTCACCCGGTCGAGAACTTCCGTTATATTTCGATTTCACGATTGTCAACCCCACTAAAACTTATTATGCCGTAAATCTAAATTGATTTATCTGCACAATGGTGTATAACACGTCTACCTTTGTTGTCGGAATCATTCGTAGCAGGCCTCCCAAAGTATGTCAACCGTAATTATTTCGTCTACCAACAACCGATTGGAAATATAAGACTCGCAGTAAATGGTTAATTATAAAAAGTGTTTCCAAAAAACCTGTTAGTTTTTGTCTGAATAGAAATTATCATCCAGATAGTAAATTTGTAAAAGATTCCGTGAAAAAAAATCTAATTAGTGTTATATGAGGTATGTCTAATGAGTTACGAGTTTCTATTTTAAGACTCAAATTTTCCCATTCCATCATTCCATCAATGTCATTCAGACTCTCTATGGACTTTACATATAAAATGAGATAACTTCAAGAAACATTTATTTTTAGCAATAGACCTTTCCATAAATTTTGACCAATCGGAAACCAAGATATATATAAGAGAGGGGTAAGATACCAAAAGGACAATTATAATTAACCATTTACTGCGGGTCTCAGTATATCCGAAACTCAGTACATCCGGAAGTACTGAGTGTCGAATTCATTCAACACATTGGAAGAAAAGCTGATGAAGGTAAGACTAGAAAAGCACGTACTTCTGCTGGTAGACTGCTAGCCCCGACCGTCATCAGCTCAGTAGTCATTGCTTCGTAACTGACACGATTTAAAACAGACTTTTCTTATTTTCTCCGTTTATGAAATGAATTAAGACATTATCAATAATATAAGGTTCCAACTCCCTTAGGAAAAATTTACTCTAGAAGAATTTTACTAGTCCTCATAGGTTTGGTCAAGTTGTCAGGTATTTTTGTAAATTGTCAGGTCTGTGCGTTTCTGTTGAATTCAGACCAAGAAAAACACTTCTGACGCATAGAAGTGTAGTGCTGTATTCATTTGGAGAATACCAAAAAGAGAACAGACAATAACAAGTATCAAACACAAAATACTTGTATTAATATTTTATATGGTTTTACTAAAGCTATACAACCGAAATGGCTAAAATAACCTTGATTATTAAGAAAATGAGGTACAAATATCGTTTTTGCAAGTACAAAATGAAAACAACACTTTATAAATTCCATGCGTCCGAATCGCTGTTCTTGATTTACCTTCACCAGGATCGCTCGATGCCGAATATTTGAAAGGCAAAGATGTATAAGATAAGTAAATCTGAAAAATAAGTCCAGCATTGTAAGGATATACATGTAATAAACTACTATTGATTCTAGTTTACGCATATAGTTAATAAATTCAACCTATTGTTTTTGAAACGATATGAAAAATATACCCTGGTTAAATTTGGCGTCTGCAAAGATGTTTAACTCCGCCCCATTCTATATGTGCATGTCCCGTGTCAGGAGTTTGTACATTAATCAGGCCGTTAGTTTTCTTGTTTGAACTATTTTACATTTATCATATCGGGTCTGTTATAGCTTGTTACGCAGTATGGGTGTTGCTCATTGTTGAAGGACGAACGGTAACCTATAGTTACTTACTTCTACGTGATTTGGTTTCTGGTGGAGAGCTGTCACATTTGCAATCATACCACATCTCCTTCATCTTCGCTAGCCAAGGGTTACGATCCACTTCCCTCCTCTCCACCCTTGGCAGATTGAGATAGAATTTCGGAGACACAAGGTAATGATTTTCATTGGTTGCAGTCGAAACTCGCTGCATCCAATCAAAAAGCGCCTATAACATGATCACGTGTAAATGTAGAAAGTGTATGTAAACAATTGCCACGTGCTTATTGTTCAACAAGTCTTTACATCCCTAAACATACGACTATATTTAGTGACAATTTGAATGTTTTTAATCAACTAATAGAAGTTCCTGTGTATGCTTCTTGTACAAATGCATGAATGTCAACGTATATTTTCGTTTCCTGCTTTACCAAGCGTGTAGAATCTAGACGCTACCGTGTTTTACCTCCAAATTGAAGAGTTCAAGTGTTACCATTGGTCAAGAATAATGTATTCGGAATGGGCGTGACTTTAATTTTCCGACAGATGACGCAACATTGTTATCACAAATGTTGGCTTAATCTGCCAAGGTTGGAGAGGAGGGAAGTGGATCGTAACCCTTGGCTAGCGAAGATGCATCTCCTTATAAAATAATAAACAATTTGTTTAAAAATTCAATTTAAAATCACATGATTCCCATAATGTTTACGTTTGCAATTGTGTTTATAGGATGTTTCGCGTTGTTTTTACAAATAAGATGTATACAGGTGTTCCAATGAAAAATATGAATCATCGTCTGAAGATGTTTCGTATTGGCTGAATACCTCATATGAATTTCGATCAACATTTTCAAATCTTGCATGTCGTGCGCCCGTTTCAACCGATGATGGTTCCGAAACAATTTAATCTAAAGAGAGTGGGCCGAAATTTTCCAAACTGTCACTTGTGGGTTTATTCGAGACAATTGATCCGAAATCATTAAGTAATAGAGACTGTGGTTCGAGATGCTTTAAACTTCTGTTTAATGGTGTATCACTTACAGTCCTTATAATTTGCAAATGCACATTTCTGCTTGATATACATTGGTTGTCGTTGCTTGAGGAAAAATAAGTTTTCGGATCAGTTAAATCGTCTATTGGCATTGACAAAGTTGAAGACTCTGAATCCAAACAAGACTGGTTCGTTCTTCTATTCCATGTTTGTGTCTGTGACACTGATAAATATATGTTTGCCATGAATTCTTTTTAAGGAGGATTTCGTAATCTGCAAGTGCTCTATCTCCGGCATACTTTTCCTCTTTGGCAAGTTTCCTGGCTTTCTGTATATATTTCAGTGCAGCTTCATTATTACCTTTCCAATCTTCCAGCCTAGATCTGGAAACTGCAAGGATCATTTGTCTCCGATGTTCAAGATCTTTAAGGGTATCAAGTTGTAGAATTTTTTTTGTTTCAACAGTAGAATGCATATTTGGTATATAATTCTGTACAATATCGCAAAACTTTCCGATACCGAGATGAGCAAATGTCATTTGTAAAAGACATAGTTTCATCCAAAATATGCGCAAGTCATCAGATTCGTCCTGTAATGTCCAAATTCCGCGATTGTCTTCAAACAAAATCGAATTGATTAGCCCCTCGTCATGGGGATCTTTCTCAAATTTCGAAAGTTTCACAGACATATTTTTATAAATCATATCTGTCACTTCTACACATGGACCAATGTTATCTGCACTTACTAATGCTTGTCTAATTAAATCTTCCGCTTGTTGAAAGTCGCCAATTGTTGAAAGAACATCCGATTGTCTTCCATACAGAATGACCTCTGAAAGTGCCTCTGATGTGCCGGGTTAGATGTTCTTGAAACATATCGCTCAATTTCCAAAAAACTTGGATGATCCTTGCTAATTATTCCATCAATGTTTGTCAGCTCATCTATTTCTGCAGCTTTCAAAGCAACAAATTTATCACATTTATTCATTTTCTCCACGGGATCATCAGTATTGGAGATTCGCTGCTTCATTATTTCTCCTATTCTGTGAACATCAAAATAAGCATCATTGAAAGCCATTGCATCAACAAGTTGTTTGATATGCTTAAAAAAACAACTTTCCAATCTTACGCCTATTGCTAGTGTCTAGTCGATGAACACGACAAATAGGCACTTCAATTGTACTTTCTTTGTAACAAAGGAATAATTCTTTGGCAAGATCTCTGAGTCCATTAAAATATAACACTTTTATAAGCTCAGGAGTGTTACA